CTGTTTGTTTATTAGCCCCGTGCGAGTGCCTTGGTTCTTTTTACCTGCATGCTGATGACACTTCCTCGCTACTGACATACGTGACAAATTTTTTTTCCGAGAAATATTATTTTCACGTTTGCACTAATAAGTATGGGTTACGAGAAGACTTATATAACGTTATGAATAGAATTTTTCATGATTTTGCAGTATTTCTTAACGAAAATCTTGATTGTTCTTAGACGAACAGAAACATCATTTATAACAGAATTTCATTCGATGCAACAAATCATTAATAAATAATTTCATTTCATTTCGCACCCTTTGTAATATCAATTAGTCAAAAAAAAGAGGAAAAAATTGATCGCGAAATGTCACGTCAAACCTTAATATACATATCTTTTAATTGAACTTTTCTCTCTCTCTCTCTCTCTCTCTCTCTGCCGGACTTTTATTTCGATGTTAAACACAGAGTTGTCTGCGTGCTTGTGCACGCCTTTGACAAAGTGACGTGAAGCTAATTACTTTATCCAATTAGCATTAATTAGTGCCACCTCCGGCAAATGCTTCTCCCTCTCTCTCTCTTTCTCTCTCCCTATTCTTTGTCAATGCTGCGCGTATTCAGAAAATCTCTCATATTTGACGTTTGTTTGATATTTTCGATACAAAACGTAGAGCGCGCGAGGTCTCTTCTTTGAAAAATATTTATATTCATAATACACTTCTTTCCGATTTATGTGTATGTAATTGTTCGTTAATGTACTAATTAAATGCCGGGCAGTTCACTTAGTTTGTTGTTTGTTCAATTGAATTACAATCACAATCTCAGTTATGTAATTGTATCACGACAAGTAATTTATTGCGTGCCGCTGGAAAGCGAAGGTCTTAGTGGAAACTATATGGGTCACCGAAGGAATGCCAAGCTTGTCGGGTGAGCTGTCGAGTCCCCAATACTTAAATCGAACTGGCCAAATCCATTTGTAAATACAACATGTATACCTCAAAAAGAGTCGACTACGCAATAGATCGTTATATATAAACACAAAGTCGTCGTGTTAATAGAAAATCACAACAGTCGACGAGGCAACGGCAAATTACACATATATCAAAGGCGCCGCTTACGAGCAGCAGCTTTTGATCGCTAATATAAACGGCATCGCGTTTTCCGTTAATAAATTTCCGCGCGCGCTGCAGCAGCAGCAGCGTTTTAACACGCGCGCGCGCGCATACAAAAGGCTCGCGCGCAGCAATTGGCGAGTTACGCGATCGATTTGCCGACGGGACTTCGCGTTTGTTTCTTTACCGCGGTAATTAATTCCGCGCGTTCGCGCTCCGGCTCGTATACATCGTCGACTTTTCTGTGACTGCGCGCACCTTGCAAGCTCCGACGCTCGGAGGCGCCAGCTTTGAAGCCCGACGAAGGCGCAATTATGTATATACGTACTCGCGCGTTTGATAACGTTTTCAAATTATTGGGTAGGCGGCGAGACGGCGTTTCGCCGACGCTTGTCGTTTTGTGCGGGCACAGGATTAATCAGAGGCGTATTAATTAATGGGTACGCGCGCTTCTCTAATTGAATATCTGAACGATCGAACAGACTTTTTTGTTTCCGTTTGCAACGAAGTGAGACCGAGTTCTACACCAACAATGCCGGCTTTTCAAGTTCGATTCGTTAATAAATCACTCTGCGGCGCGCGAAGCTTGAAGTTTGAAATCGTCGTCGTCGAGGCCTTCATTCAAATCGAACTTCCTTTTTAGTCGTCGAAATGCCATTAAATCCTTTGACAGTCGGCGCGTCGCGGCGGCAACCGGCGAAAAGTTACAATTAGGCGTGCGCGCTCGCGGAAATGGAAAAGGCTTGTTTTTAACGCGCCACCACTATTCTCGATGGACTTCCAGGCGTGACGAGCGAGCTCTGATCATTGTCTGATTGGGCTTTGCCGACGGCTACGTGTGTACTCTGCAATCTGGTGCAAGCTATTTAATTGATTAATTTTAGTTAATTGAAAAACGGCTGTGTTATTTAAAAACAATCTAGGTGGGATTCTTGTAACGCCATGCAATGGCATTGTGTTGGATTTGAGATTGCAATTGAAAGGACCCCTGTAGAAAAAGACACGGTAACGTTAGATAAACAGTATAGGTGCACAATAGAAAACGAAAGTGTAAATCCACCTGCGACGTGTGAGAGGTGTCAAAGTAAAAAATTTCCCATAAAGCAAGGCGAGTCAGAAAAGAAATAAGAAGTGCCCAACCAGCCGTCATCCGAATCTGCGCCAGTAGACAATCGAGAATGAAAAATTTCAACAGTTGGACACATATATGCGAATAATAGAGAGTCTTAAATGCAGGAAGGTGAAAGAGGCCTGGAATTAGCGCACCAGAGTTCTCACACGTAACCTCGAATTTTCATCGCGGCGGGGCGAAAAGATATTCGAAGCCGACCATCAAAGACATCAATGTCAGGTCCTCGTCACCACACATCAAGCGCGCCACCCCTTTTCTGTGTATACGAAAGAGAGAGAGAGAGAGAGAGAGAGAGAGAGAGAGAGAGAGAGAGAAATTTCGCCACCGCCGTGGCATGACCACCCTTTTTCTGCAGTTATACTTTTGGCGACGACGACGGCGCCCTTTCAATACGCGCCCTTTTCTACTTTCATTTTTTTGTTGCTTTGCTTTGCTTTGCGAACGTCGTGCGCGGGAACTCTGTTGAAAATCGTTTTGAGTTTTTGAAATGCCTTCTACGTGTCTATATACATTATATGTATATGTCTGTGTGTGTTTGTGTGTTATTGGGGGGATAAGTTCATCGTTATATGTCGATTTCACGGACTTTTCTTTTTACGTTGAAAAATTTCGATGCGTGTAAAGATGGGGGAAAAAGGGTAGAAAAACACACATGATGTATGTGGTGTAATAAAGAAGAATCGAATGGAAATCTTTTCTGTTGCTCTCAGTGTGACTTATTTTATCTGATGTTTTCGTAAGTGAGTCGATTTTGTGCCTCTAATATTTTTTTAAAATACGATCGTTTTGCTGCCTATTCGACGTTTTGGCTCAAATTCTTATTCGGATTCTGATTTCTAGTTGAAAAATTTCGACCTACAATGTACAGACACTAATTTACTTTGTATATTGCAACATTTAATTGAACAAATAAAGTCATTCGACTATTCCACCAGTAGCTTTTAAAAAAAGAAATTTTGATTCGAAAGTAAAACATTTATTTGCAAGTCTCTAATTAAAAAGATAGAGAATAATTAGTTTTTACAAGCGATCTTTAATGTAACTTGCAAGAATAAAAATTGACCAGAAGTTATTAAAAAAAAATTGTCAAAACCACATACAAAACGAAAACAATTATCCGTCACACTATACCATCGAATCCACGCGAGAAATTTCTCACTATCGCCTGCACCTACCGACACGTTTTTTCAAAGCGCAGCCAGCAAAGTGCACCCCACTGCAGTTCTGTTCGGCATACATAGGTATATATATATATATATATACACATATATATCTTTTCTGTCGGCCTACGCGTCGGTTTTCCCCGGCATAACTACCCTGTGTTTAGAGGGCAATTGTGAGAGAAGCCCCGCTGCTTGTGTTGGCCGTTCCTGGACCGCGTGCGGGGAATTTTCATTGCGCCCCTTTCTCCAGCTATGACGACGATCATTAAATTAGGCGCCCTCGAAAAGAAAGGGTTAGTTTTATCGAGCGCACCGAGAATGAGTTATTGTGTCAACTTTGGCTCGCATGCCGTAATGAAATTTCCGTCTTTTTTTATACTCCACGCGCTCTTCATTGCCGCACGTCTCTTTTTTTTCTTCTTTTTTTTAACGTAACTTTGACTAATTGTTTGCGAGAGCATTTCTACGCTGTCGTGCTAATAGTTTGTTGATTTATGAACATCTTTTTAAGAAATATATATCTCGAGTGGCTGCTATTTTTCTCTCTTTCTATTGTAACCATGATCTTTTCTTCACTCATATTAATCTTTTTCTTTATTTTTAAATTATCATAGCTTGGAGTATCCATTTTTTTCACAAACTTTCATGGGAAAAGATAAATGATCAGAATTGATAAATAAATAACTAAGAAAATATAAATTAAATTTAATCAAACGTTTTATAAAAATGTCATAAAGTCAGTTGTATACAGATATGACTGTATAATATTAACATATAATTTTATAGGGTAATAAATGTATACAAAACTTTCAATCAAATACATTTGACATACACTATACGCAACAAACTTTTACAATAAACTATAAGCGAACATAGTAATTATAAGCAAGAATATGAACAAAAGACAACTATGCAATAGTAACATAAGAAAATCATGGCCAATTTCTGTTTAAATTTAGGATGCGTAATCGAATGACATCGAAAATTGGCCGATTACATCGAACTGAATTGGCTTAGACTGCATCGGTGGTCTGACTACTCTTTGACGATTTGTACACCCAAAATTTCTGAAGAAGGCAGCTGCATGAAACACGTATTGAACTAATCAAAGTATTCTTTGTATACACAACCTAAACGTTATATGCAATTGTATCTAAATGTAATATAGCCGTTTCTTGAATAGGATTTTTTTTGGATAGTTAAATTAATTCTTTGGATCTTCTCAAGTCAGACTTTATTTGTAAATTTACCGACATTTCGATCACCCTAAATCTTAGACCGAAACGTCAATCGAATGTTATATTCTGGTAAAAAAAATGTTTTGATGCGAAATTCTAACCATAACAAACGTTAGAAAAAAAGTAGCGTTAACGTCATTTCCAACAAAAATCGATCCAAGTTAAACACGTGAAGCAAGGATAGTAAAGAACGTTGTAAACATTATAAAGCCCTTTTTTTTACTATTTGCATGGAATAGTAGTAAAACCGATTTTACAAAAATGTTATGGAATTTGGTCACGCGGATATAAATAATTGGAGGGAATAATAAAAAATGGTTGAATACCGACAAGGATAAGGGTATAGGAATTTGAAGAGAAAATACGTATGCGTTTAAGCAAAGACTATTCGTACGTATGAATACGAATAGTATATAACAATTTATTGTAACAAATACAATGTACAGACGTGGAATTAGCAAAAAATGTAACGTCTAAAGAAGAAATCGGGGGAGTCCAAACAGTCCAGTAATCTGCACATAACTAGTTTTTGACACACCTTATATACGCTCGCTTACGACTAGTGGCATTAATTAAAGGGTTATTCTGCTGCAGTCGAGACGACAATATGATTAATACCATTACTGTTGTGGTAATATTTACACAACGGCGATCGCTACATCGTTCCGTTCAACGGTAAGGGAAATTATGATTATTATATACATAATTGAGGTATCGCAAAATAACTGAAGACGAAGAATCGTTGAGCGCATAAACATTGACAGGCGTTTTTGGTAATGATGATAAACGTAAATGTACAAATCTTGTCGTAGCACATTAGACGCGTAAAAACGAAGAGGAAATCCGCAGGCAGGCGCACACGATCGCGTCAATGTCACGTTAATAATGCAATTTTATACAATTGTAGGCGCGCACGCTTCGTCGTCTTCGCTCGCAAGAGTCATACGTCAAAAGAATCACAGACAACCGCGCTCACCGCTTTAGAAATATATAAATAAATATAACCTTAATTCATATGTACACTCGCAACTGGGGATCGGCACCGGACTTTAAAAGTGCACGGCGACGGGCCGCCTCAGCTGGACGTCGAGGTCGAGCGAAGGCGCAGTGGGCGAGGTGGACGAGGCGTGCCCCGACGAGACGGGCGTCGACGAGCCGGGACTGCTCCCGGGACTGCTGCCGGGATGCGCCGCGAACATGGACATGGGGTGGTGGTGCGCGGCGGCCGCGGCCCCCGAGAATAGCGAGGAGGTCGGGTAGGGCTTGCCCTGGTGCGTGGCAGCCACGGCGGCGACGCCGGCCGGACTGTTGTACAAGCTCGTGTAGAAGCTGCTGACGATGGCCGCGTTGTTGTTGGCCACGTCCGCGGCCGTGGTGGACGCGGGCTGCGGCTGCGACGCGGCCGCCGAGCCGGCCGACACCAGCTTGCCGAAGTTGACGGGGTCGAAGGCCGAGCCGAAGTAGCTGGGCAGACTGGGATAGTCGAGCGTCGGCGTAGCGCTGAAGTAGGGCGGTAGGAAGCCGGGAAAGGCTGCGGCGGCGCCCGGCAACCCCGGGCCGGCCTTGCCACCCTGCACGGACACCGGCAGCTTAGGCTTCCGTCGAGGGCGGTACTTGTAGTCCGGGTGCTCCTTCATGTGCATGGCGCGCAGACGCTTGGCCTCGTCGATGAATGGCTGCTTCTGCGGCTCCGACAGCATCTTCCACTCGGCGCCCAGCCGCTTCGAGATCTCCGAGTTGTGCATCTTCGGGTTGTCGAGGGCGATCTTTTTGCGCTGGATGCGCGACCAGACCATGAACGCGTTCATGGGCCGTTTGATGTGCTGCTCCTGCTGCGCCTGGTGCGCGTGGACCGCGTGGTGATGGTGCAACTGATGCTGCTGCTGTTGATGCTGATGATGCTGCTGCTGCTGCTGCTGCTGCTGCTGCACAGCTGCGGCGGCGAGTTGCTGCTGGTGCGCCACTGCGGCCGCCTGCTGCTGCCACTGATTGCTCGGCTGGCCTATGCTGTGCAAGTCCATGCCGCCGAATAGGCCCAAGTGTTGCGAGCCCATCATCGTCGAAGCTCTTCGCCTTAACCGTCTGATTCACTGTACGAGCACTGAACAACTAATTAGCACTGGGGCATGCTGGGAGCGAATGCCAGACGAACGACGAGAGACCGATCGGCGTGCGCACCGTGTAGACTGTTCGTGGTAGACTGAAGACCGAAGGGAGCCGAACCACGACGACGACCGGACGCGCAAGAACGGGGAAATGGGCCGTCGAGAGGAGCTATTGGATGGGCGGGGCTTCAGGCTCCGCCCGGTCCAGCTTCGCAACGACCGTTCGGCTCTCCTCGGTGCACTCGGCGCTGCGCAGCGGCGCTGCTTTGCGTGCCCAGCGAAGAGCCGCCGCTAACTTGCGATCGTTGTCGTATCGATTGTCGCGCGCGCGCGCGCGCGCGCGCAGTGCCCGCCTAATAGCGCGGATCGCTGCGATATGACGGCGGCTGGATTGCCAATTGCCGGATTAGAATTGCCGACGGTGGCCGCTGTCTCGTTTCCCTTTTGTTTGTTTTTGTTTCGCTCCAGTCGGAGCGCGCTGCTCGTCGCGATTATTTGGCTTTTCGTTCGCGGCCATTTTACGATACACTTCATTTAGCTGTCGAACGTTGAATCGGTGAACAAAACGTTGACAATAGGTGAACCTGTGCGCAGGATTTACAATTAATGGACTGCGCTCGTCTTTCTTTATTAATTAGTTTCTTGCAGCGTTTGCATTTTCCATGGGCAATTAGAATGGAATGCATAAATGAGAATCCAAACAAAACCGAACTAGTATTTGCTGAAAATGACGTGAATCGTATTCTATATCATTTTCATTATATAGCATGTTTGTAAGAGTTATAATATATATTATATATATACGTGTGTTCTTATTTGAAAATTTGTCGATAATATTGTCAATAGAAAAAGATCGAGTGGTCAACGCTCACGTAATCTTGTTGATTTGACAGTTGACATCGCGGATACGTATTCAACCCCTTCGACAAATTCGCAGTCGTATTTTTTTATAAACAGTCGTCGTATTTATTGTATAGATGCGGAAATGCGCGCATAAAGGTTACAGTAATACAAATGCAGTAAATAATACTCACTATTCGTGCACTTTCGTTATTTAGTACACAATATTGCATCCAACACTTCCACACAAATACTAAATGAACTTGATGCGAACTACCTGTCTTTGAGGAATTGTAAGCTCTGCAGCTGTTGCTTGGCCGAGTAAGTTCGTACGGACTGTCGACTTGCTTCGAAAAGTGAGATAATGTTCATTCGAGACTAATCGAGTGGAAAGCTATAAACTGGACTGCACCTTCCTCACAAATGGGAAGCTCTATTTACGGGCACATCGTTGCCGTGTTCCGACATTATTGTGAAAGTAGAGGCGGGTAGCACGATGCGATAATACTCTATAATTTTGGACGTTGATATAAAGAGATAATCTGTTAAACAGAAGAGTTGACGAGGTGTTTGAATAAATTTATTAATAAACGAATAATCGAGGCGTTTTAACATTTAGCGGTAAACAGGCAAATTCTTTGAATTATTTCAAATGGTATTTACGTCAGCCGACAATTTGTAAAATTAATTTTACATCTTTTGTGTTTGTGGGTGGGGTTGAATAGAATCCTTTCAATGAATCATCAGTATGCAGATGAAATTTATTTCAAATATTCTACGAACATTTTCTCGAAGTCTCCAAGATAGTTCATCGTCAAATTTTAGTCTCAAAAGCCTTCGTCATATTAGCTGAGTAGCGCCATCTAACAAATATTCATGGTATCAATGTAACTATGTAGCATGAAATAACCACTGCGTCTATAAAGTAGAAAGCTACTTAATTATTTATTATTAAAATAATAAATTCAATGAATGAATTATTTGTGACGATAAGTACATACGTTCATTGTGAACAAATGCTATGCTGTATACTTACTTCTTTGCATATTGATGAAGCTAATGTCTGCTTAGAGTTGAATACAAATGTATAGATTTTTACTATGAATATTTAAATAAAAATTTTTGTCGAATTCCCTTTACAATATTAACTTAACTGTTAAAAATCTCACAGTAAAATTCTCTGCTATTATTATCGCATTACATCTGCGCTGTTCATGTGCAAATAAAAAAGTTTTTCTATTGGCACATACAATCGTTTATAAAAATGTATCTAAACAAATTTTAACAAAATTAAGTTGTTACTTTGAAAATTTGATCATACCAATCGATTCTACGGGAATAATTATGATGGAAACGTATTTAACATTTTTTTGTTAAAGTTTAATTTGTTAAAACAGTAACGTTGAATTTCTGCAAATAACAACTTTTATCATAATAAAGCCGAATAATTTTATGTAAACCATTGAAAATAACAAGATATTTACGTCGAAATCCAAAGCAACTAAATGAAGCGTTAAGAACATTCGCAATGGGTTATTCTGTTCCTTTCGATTCTACAATCCAAGCTTTTACTTTGTTGCGACAAATTTCAGAAAGTAATATTCCGCAAAAAGGAAAAAAAATGGAAAATATTCATCATAGAAATGAGGCATTCACAGTACAGTGATTTCTCATGACAAACCCACAACATGCATCTCCGACAGCACAAACCCCATATCAAAAAGGCAAGTATAAAAGACGCGAGAGAGAGAAAGGGAAAAGCGCACTTCTAGCGAAAGAGTACTCGTATAGATCCTGTGCTCGCGCATCGCGGTAAACTTTAGCTAACCGATATCAAGGTCTTTTCTTTGCGAGCAGCCCTTCTCTCTCTCTCTCTCTCTCTCTCTCTCTTTCTCGGTTGATGCGAATCTTCAGGGACTGTATTTCTCATACATGGCCAGTCGTCGCAGCCTCCCATTGGGAAATCTAGCGAGACAATGGCTTGCGCAAAAGAAATACGCGCGCTGTGGCCACTTGCATGATGATCTGAAAAGCCAAACGCTGCTGCCGCTGCTCCAATGACGACGAAGAAATGCTCGTGTTCCCCGAGGATTTGGCCCTGCCTTGTTCTGTTATCTTTTTCTTCCCCGAGCCAACTATTGTCTTTCATTCTTGCTTATATTCTCCAGATGGGGGATTTTTGCTTTTTGCGCTACTGCTGCCGATGCTGTTGCTGGCCGTCTCTACGCTCTTTGGCTTCGATTCTCCTTGGAGTGGCTTCAAAAGTAAAAGCTCTCTTTCTGATCTAACGCTTGCCAATTGGATTGCTTATCATTAGTCTTTTCATCTGTTTCAGACTTGATTGATCCTAACAAGAACTTTCTGAACACGGCATTCTTTACTAATTAATATTACTAATAACTGCCCGTTAATATATTTAATTCCTGTTTATAATTTTATATAATTGTATTATTCGATATGCGATAATGATATTTGCCATTATTTTTACTGTAAGAAATTAATGAGTTCGCTAAGCCATATAACTAATTTTGACTTATAATCGTATTTTTTTTACTGGCTTGAATATTTACTCCGATAATAGCAATATTCAATTATTATTTTCCTTACGAATAACTAGTGAACAAAAACGGAGGTAATTTTACTTAATTTTTCCGTCTAATTGTATCTATTTCTAGAATAATGAAATAAATAACGATCACAACTACATTAATAAACTGACTTATTAAATTCTTTTGTTATATTTTTAGAATTGCAAGAATCAAATACTTAATATTTACACAATAAAAACTTTTCGAAGGAATTATTCAACGCTAGTTTTCATTTTTTCAAGAAAACTCATAGTTCAGTCCACGTGGATTTCCTCGCAGATTTCCAGGTGGTAGCCACAGCGCATACATAGTATTTTTGTCGCCAACCGCTTTAACTAATTAAAGTTAAAATGAAAAAATGTACCGTTTCATAACCACCAATTCTTTAAGTTTATATTTGCATATTGCTTCTTATACATTTTCACCTCTATGTAATGAATTTTTACAAATTAACACATACTTTGTAGAAATAATAGGTCGTGCTTGTAATTACGAAAGTAGCTTATATTTCAACTAAGTATTCAAGTAATTATTTAAAGTGAAGTTATTTCAATTAAGTATTTTTGTATTATCACGTGGATTTCTATAAACGTGTGCATTTTCAAGTTAAAATTACTCATGGATTTCCATGTAGAATTAATCCCCATGGTATTACCCAAATCCACATGGAAATTCATGTTTCAATGGGGTTGATAATTATATAAACATTTTACAGATGTTATGAAATCATTATTGGAGTAAATACAAAGAACGACAAAAACAAAATTTTATATATAAATTCGTATAATGAGTTGGTGATCTACTAACAATACCAAGAGATAAAGTTGTTGTATAAGCTGTCCTGTTATCAACGTGCTTTAATAAAAATGTTGGTTATATAAGATTAAATGTCGAATCTTGATCTTTTGTTAACTTGGCGGTATTTCGTTATCGATAATTTTACCGATTTAAAAATGTACTAAACTTGTAAATCGTGAGCTGGATACTCGTCCGGGCCACCATATGTTTACTATAGACAAGTAAATCAGGGCAACGCATAAGTATAATTGTAAATATATCAGCGTCACCTTGAATTGATCGAATTCATAACAACAATAAATAATAAGAGACATGGGATGGGTGTGCGACTATACAGACATTGTTATAGCAAGGATCTAAATGGAGTAAAGACCATTTATAAATATTCAATAATATACAAATAAATTACAAAAATAAAATTATAACGGCGAATTACGAATCGATCAAATTCAACTAGTATAGGATAACACGTGTGACAGAAGAAAAGAACTTGTACGCGAAACTCCTGAGTATGATGTTGAAGGGCTACTGACTGAAGTTCGTTTACCGGCACGGCTCGTATTTAGCGGTTGGCATTTCGGAGCATAAAATATGAACGTAACATCATAGTCATCATACATCGCCTTTTTGTCGTTCTGGACTCGAGGACTAGATTTACACAGGTTGGTGCTTCGAATCTCGTCTCGCACACCTCGCATCAAAAATCAAGTTAGATTCATGCGGGAGAAGGTAATTTTAGCCGTGCTTCGCGCGAGCGCAAACATTCACACTTTAAATGTACTATTTTGACGATTATGGAGAAACTATAAATCACGAATGAATTTTGACGATGATGCCAATTCGCGCATTAACACTACAAAATTAATTTGGCAAGTTAACAAAGACGTACATTTTTTATAGCAGATTCTAACATTGAAAATTCAGCTCTACAATATGGTATATTTACAATGTTTATAACTCATATTTCCATAATCAGGCAAGTGCAGGTAGTGAGTTCTATCATTTTCTGGAAGAAATTAACCGACTATACCAGTAGTCAACCAACACAAGCTTTTGTGATGGTAATTATGACGATTATGAGCTTCGGCAATCAGGGCAAACCCGGTAGAGCAAGTAGGTGACGCGGTGAGATGGTCGAAACATGTTTTTTACAGCGCGGCAATTTTTGGGAATTGTCTACTGTTTTTTTAATTTTACTTATTATTATTATTATCAATATTATTATATTTAGTTCCGTCAGATGGTTAATCATAAACAGGCACGTTTCCAAATTATGAAGCGCAAATATCGCTAAAAAATTACACGCGATACTATTAACTTATATTATTGCTTATGAATGTGATGAACGTTATTAACTATAGTTAAATATTTAAAAAAATCTCGTTCTAAAATAAATTCGACACTCAAACCATACTCTAAAATTGATAATAATTATTAAAATACTAAATAAGAAAAGGCAGATTCTAAAACCGCTCAAAAATGTTTAATATGCTTAAGAAGTACAAGTAGGAAATATATTTAATAGTAAAATAAGTTGCATGATCAGAATTGTAAACAAATAGCTCCATTTTATTTCCATATAAAAAGTTTTATAACATTCAAAACCCTAATTTCTTTTTCCCAATCCTCTAACTACATAATTTGGTGCCAAGGAATGATTAAAAGTGGTAAATAAAATAACAAACTTAAACATACAACATAAAAAAAAAGAAAGTTGTGACTTTTATTAAGTCATGGCGTGTTCCCGTGCTCTGTTAAATAATTAAAAGTACGATTACAACTTTGGTCTGTTGGCTTCAAGCAGAGTTCTTATTTTCTGAGTCAACATAATATTTCCCTTGACCTTTAGTTTACCCTTCATAAATGCCATTTGTGGGTTCAATTTTCCAAGAGCCTAAAGTAAGAAATTATTTTATTAGCATATTGTCATATCACGTTATTTTTAACGAAGCAAAAATTAAATAACAAATTTTAATTACCATTTGAATCATATCTTTGTCATCAATGGTCAATGTAGTGTCAACCTTTCCTTCTGGTTTACCTTTGTAAACTGTAGCTTTTTTCAAGTCCAATACTAAAAAAATATTTGCATAATTATTCATTTTATAAAAAAAATAAATTAACATTAAATTAACAGTATTTATTCAAAGTACTCAAACACTAGTATAGAATTAGTAACTGAATAAGAATTATAATTGTAAATTTACATAGATAATTATCAATTACTATAAATATTATCTATAAATGCAGAACTTAAATTTAGTTTGAAAAAATAGAACAATTATTTAAAATATTTTTCATATAAAATATATCTTACCCCAGTCAACTTCGGGTTGCCCTTTGACCGTGATAATAAAATGAAATACTCCATTGATTTTTTTTACTTGGTCTGGATGATCTTTGACGTAATCGTTGATTTGAGCGAAAACTGCGTCGCTATCAACATTTTTGGCAGAGCACAAGTTCGACATAATGGACGGCGTAGTTTTAACTTCGGTCAAATCCATGTAAGCACCAGTGAGAACTTTCGAGTTATCTTCAACAATTGTCGTCTGGAAGTGAATTCTGTTGCCGTTACGCCACATATCAGTACGAAGGGTTTGTCCGGGTAACACTGGCTTGGCGAATCGAACCTGATTTAAAACATTTATTGTTAGTAAATGTAGTACGATGAAAATGTTCTAATTCTATTGTAGAAAGTTACTTTTATTTTAATTTTAGCGTGACACCTTACAGTAATTTAAATATTATACAATAAATATTATACACGAGAAAATGTATGTTGGCCTTTTATTAAAAAAAAAAAAAAATGAAAGAAATGTGTATGTAATACCTATATCGATTGTTCGCCGACAACACTCAACATCGGAGTGGCAATAGCAAATGAGGTTATACTGAATCGCCTACTCACTATGCAACCTTGGCGAGTTGGTTGTTGCGCGCGCATCTATTAACACTTATTTACTTTAAATACACATACGAATTGAAATTTCGGCAAAGTCAGGGCGTGTTCACCTTAGGCAACGCATAACTGATCGTTTTCTCTTTCGGATTATTTATTTTATCTTTATGATATGATAAATATTTAAAACTCATTTATCAAATATAATATCAACAAATAAGATTATCACGCTAATTTTAACAGATAATGATATATTCATTTGGTCTTGTTAATTTTAACTTTGGTATTATTTTCGATGATATATTAGAAATCATATAAATACTCTACTATTATCTATCGTTCTATTTGTATTTTACTATTCAATACACAGTTTTTGATTTGAAACTTTTCAGATTTTTGTCAAAAATAATTTGTCGATTACTTTATAATGATAGATAACATATTTTATAAAAAATATTATAGTTTCAAACTTAGGCAGCTTTAGAAATTGATTTTTAACAAATTATAAGTATAATTTTCTATTACTTATGTCCGTAGAAAACGAGCAACAGAGTCGGAGACTCGTAAGAATCTATTCTCGATAATTTGTTATAGCTAACTGATACAATAGGAATAGGATAAATACAAATTTTCTATCAATATCTGGAAAAGAATAGTGACATCAAAAATTATGCTGACCAAATGATTAAAAAGACATCAAGATTAATACAAAAAATGTGTATAATTACAAAATGATTTAAAAATGTAATCTATAGTATCAAAATGATAGCAAGTATATTTACTTGCCTTGAGTGTTTTCAAAGCATGAGGATTTCCATCGGCAAAGGCTTGCAAAACATGTCTTGCTGAAAATCCAAGAGAACATAATCCATGCAAAATTGGTTCTGAATACCCTGCCATAGATGCGATTCCATCGTCTATGTGAAGTGGATTATAGTCCCCACTCAACCTGTATAGAGCAGCCTGTGAAAAAAAATGGAGATATACAAATTATGTGTTTTATATAAAAGATTAAGTCCATTTTTTTATACTACTAACTTGGTCAACACTTGTTTTTTGTGTAACAGATACACATGGCTTCCGGTTTGGAGGTTCAATGCAAGGAATGACATTTGAAGAATTACGTGGACCTCCAAATCCACCTGCTCCTACCGCGTAAGCAGACATTTGGCAAGTTGTAAGCTTATCTCCAGTTGCTACATCATAAGTTTCATCTAAAACCAATACCAAGTTTTACAACAAGCAAATTTAGTTGAACATACAATTTTTTTGCGCAATTTACTTACAATAGATAAGTATTACAGCTCCTTTTTCCTTATCTAAAACATCAGTTACCTTGAAGTGACTTTCAACTTTACCTTCCACAGGTAGTTGTTTATGAACTTCCAAATATTGTTCACCATGTAGAAGCTGAGAATAAAAAAAAATAGAAAATTTGTTAAATCTATCACTTCAAAAAATGCGTAATCAATAATCAGATCCTTTTCTTACTCTAGTAGGATCTAATTGTATTTCAGGTACTGCATCTTGTATAATACTAGAACTCATGCAAACTGCTGGACCAAACGTTACATAAAATGTTGGTACCAAAGCAAAGTTTTCGTGATTTTCATATAAGTAACAAATATCTTTAGGTTCTTGTCTTGTTGCACCAACTATAATGATTCATATTTTATATGTATTTTTAATTTATTAGAAAATATTTTAAATATCAATAAAAACCTTATTACCTCCAAGAGCATAAAGGATAGAATCGCGGAATTGATAATTGGTTTGAAAAACAGTTTCTTTATTAGAAGATGAAGCACCAGTTCGTAATTGTTCCAGTGCAGTCATCAATTCACCAGTTACCTCCTACAACAGTACATTATAACAGACATTAATTGAGTAATAAGTTTATACAAATATTAAATAGAGTAATTATTGCTAATATATTACTGTAATTGTATCAAAACTCTTTGCACCATTCATATCAATTACTGCAGACCAGTTGTCACGCACAGCTTCTGGTGTCACTGTGTCATTCAAATTCTTCCTCAATAGTGTACCATTTGATCTTAGAAGTCGACCTGTAAATATGATAAGAGCTAGAATTATTGTTTTTCACTTGCTAGAAAAAAAATCTATATAAAAAATATTTCATTACTTACATTTACCAGCCCAACCAACTGCTGATTCAATGATTGAACCATTTTCTTGACAATCATCATGGCATAACCACATCACAACTGGAGCTATCAATTCTGGTTTCAATTGTTCGAAGAAATCTAAACAAAAATAATAGCAACAAGAATATTGATAATATAAGTTATACATAGTAAAAATATGTTTATTTACTAACCAGGTGGAATAACATCTTCTGTCAATCTAGAAGCAGCAGTTGGAACAATCACATTAGTATGAATGTTATTTTTTCTACCCTCAATAGCTAGGGTATTCATAAGTCCAACAAGTCCTGCTTTAGCAGCGCTGTAATTTGGTTGACCAAAGTTACCATACAACCCACTATTACTGGAAGTCATTATAATTCTACCAAAATTCTGTTTGCGCAAATAAGGCCATGCTGCTTTGGTTACTTTCATAGCTCCTTTCAAGTGAACATCATGAATGATATCTACAATATTGGTAAAAATATTGTTAATAGAATGTTAAAAATTTTAATTTGGTAAAACACTAATGAACATCACCTACCCCAATCAGCATCTGACATCTTTAAAAAAGATTTATCTCTTAAAATACCAGCATTATTGATTACAATATCTATTTGTCCAAAGGTATCAATAGCAGTCTTAACAATTCTGTCACCATCCAAAACATTATCATAATTTGCTATAGCTTTACCACCTGTTAAAAATTTTAATATACAGTATATCATTCACTCTCACATTTTCATAACTTATATGAGAAATCAAATTACCTGTTCTGCGAATTTCGCCTACAACTAAATCTGCTACTTTAGTGGCACTGCCATCTCCATGCCTACCAGTTCCCAAGTCATTTACTACAACGCTTGCTCCTCTAGAACCAAATAAAAGTGCATATGCCCTTCCCAAACCTATATAAAATAGAAAACTGATAATCAAAAACTATTTGCAACTATGCTTAACAAGAATAACGTATGTAAATCATATTTGTGAATGAGTAAGCATTTTTTCTAACAGTTATTCGCTAATTAACTTTGAGAATATGGATTTATTATAAATAAGTTAATTAAAATAAGTATATTCTAATTGTGAGAAGAAACATTCTATACGAATTTAGATGAAATTACCTGCTCCAGCACCGGTAACAATAACAACACGTCCATCAAATCGTAGATCATACATCTTTACCGATATGGCAATTATTAAAATTACAAAACAAAACAATCGTGTATAGCTAAATATAAAACAGCGTATCCCAAGAGCCGGTTGCTCGTAGAATGAAAAGGCAGAATTGTAAATCCCTCTTCACAGTGTATATCTATAAAAAAACAGGTTTGAATCGTTGTTTCTCTCTTTTTTTTTGCTTAACTCTCTCGAATCTCCCGATATCAACTGGTAAACACTCCGAACTCCGATTGGATACACTCACTTATACACTGAATATACTCTGACTTGAAAACTCGAATATATAATGACGAGAAAATAACGAAAGTCATACATGCACACTCACTCATCAACCAAACCTGTTGCAGAATATGTGCACTGCTATATATATATATGCACTGCCGCGATCATGATACGTAATCAATATGCTCGCAATATGCTCGTTTATTTTTATAGCAGCAGCACCTTCCTTTAAAGAAAACGATTTTGTAGGTCGTAAATAATAGAAATTTCAATGAAAATTGAAATTCGAATTATTTCAAAATGTTTTTTATATATACGTATATATATTGAATTACAAATTAATCTGTACTTACCAAGCGTCGGTCAAGTAGATTTTGCTGTGAGAATAGATATTTTATTATAAATAAAAAGACGCTGTTAGATAAAAGATGTTGGTTTTTCTTTTTTTCTTTTAAGAGATTAAGCAAGTAGCTCTTTGTTGATGACTAATTAATATCATTGTAGACTGTAAAAAATTATTTTTTTCTATAGGTAAAAATATTTATGTTAATGATATTGAATAACATTTATTTATTTTTTTATGTCACACTGGTAATGAATAGTTAAATAGAATATGCCATTGAAGCTTTATAGAGTATGTACTTTGAATATAAACCAAAATACTAAGCTGATAAATCTATTGCTAATGATATATATGCTAATGCGTAATGCAATATATGCTTTCTCAAAGCGCATAAAATTTTTTACATACTAAAAATAAACACGATAAGCAACAAATAAAATAATACGAAAAAATGGAATAGAGAAAAATTAGAATATCTTTTTTATTTAAAATGAATAAACACAACTGCAAAGTTACGTAAAAATACCTCGAATTGTTCGGATGCAACTGATATAAAACTGAGTGCAGCTAAAAATGAAAAGAAAAAGGGAAATTTCTAAAATGGCAAATTTTAATAATAATTTTTTCAGTTATCGATCAATAATCTTGAAAATTAAATCAGTTTCAGATTTTAGGAAAGATAAACGTGACAGCAAAGTTTCATAACAATAGCTATTAGTGTTCGAACGTATAAATGATATGAAAACGAAACAATGAAGTATACTAAAAGTAATCATGTAATAGCTATTTGGCTAAAGGAACTCAGCAGGAAGTTAACGAAAATCGACCGAAAAAAATTATAGAAAAACTGCGCGTGGTTGACAAAGATAGCAAAAGTTATTTATAACTCCGCGCAATTTCATTTTCATTGATAAAAAAATTATCGAAGTTGATCACTCATAGATCATCGACAACTGTATCGGCGTCGAGTTTTAATAAAGTTTCTAGAGAAATAAACCCGTTCAATCGTTAGCAAAAATCTCGTGCAGTTTTTCTATCCAATTAAAATATTATAACCATCCGTTAAAGAATAAATATTATTTCTCACTACGGTCATATACATATACACCTGAAAAATCAGTGTATTGAAATAACCCAATAACCCATTCCTATTAATAATTACAATAATAAAAGTGTACAGATTTATGTTACCGACTGATCTGTCAGGTGCATCTGTATATGACCGTAGTGAGAAATAATATTTATTTTTTAACGGATGGTTATAATAATATTTTGATTGGATAGAAAAACTGCGCGAGATTTTTGCTAACGATTGAACGGGTTTATTTCTCTAAAAACTTTAATAAAACTCCACGCAGATACAGTTATCGATGATCTGTGAGTGATCAACTTTGATAATTTTTTTATCAATGAAAATGAAATTGCGCGGAGTTATAAATAACTTTTGCTATCTTTGTCAACTACGCGCAGTTTTTCTATAATTTTTTTCGGTCGATTTTCGTTAACTTCCTGCTGAGTTCCTTTAGCCTAGCAATTTATGTGCGAGAATGATTGTAGCGCGAGATAGTATAACATTTTTCTCGGACAATTTTTATTTTCATTCGCTCCTGGCGCTTAAAAAATTTTACAGTGTAGGCAGACGACGTATGAGGGTATTTGCGTGCAGGTGACAGTTAATTTATAAACGGTGGCGTACGATGCAGCACTACACAGATTTTTTTATAGATTATTGATTATCACCTTCTACTTCACTTTCACTACTATCACTACTAGCATCGTAAATTGCATCTACTTCCATATTTATATACAAACTTCTAAATATTTGATAAAAACACTATGTTCAGCGATCATGTACAACATACACTAAAACAAAACTGACAGCTTGCGCCGTGGCACTGCTTTGACAGGCACAGACATGCTATTCTATTAGTCTGTCCTACAAACATTGGCCCCATGTGGTTAGCCGATATACGATCTATATGGTGAGTCATCTCTGGCTGTATGGAGCCAATACGCTTGAGGAGAACATAACCTCCTAATGCTCCTTGACTGTATTGGCCGCACATACGGCCGGGAATTTACCCGTTCGTATGCTATCTATTTATACGATTGATGGTCCTCTGCACGTAAATGCCCTCATACGTCCGCCTAGGCTGTAAACGTAAGACTTGTGAATCTGACGCCCAAAAAAATTTTTTAATCATATTTTTGAGTTTTCATGAGCTAAAACGTTTTCTCCCTTTTTCCGGATTATGTCTCCGCTTGAAATTTTATTTCCGGATTTTCCGTTTTTAAGAAAATTGCGAAAAAAAATCGGGCGTTCGTACAGCGCGCAAAATGCATTAAACATTTTTCTCCTGTTTAAAAAGAAATAATATCGATAGCGGATGATAGCTCCTTATTCCCGGATTACGAAACAATTTTCCTTTTGTCGATTTTCTATCAAAAATTGAGGAAAATGTAAAAATTAGTAATATGCGGCAGTTAGTCGATAAAACAGGTAAAACGTTTGCTAATCACCAGATATCCCTATATGAGTTCTACATTGCGTAATTATAATAATAAGTAATTTAAATTCTACTCAATTAACCATTCACATTTTATGTACATATACATAAATAATTTTTTCTAAGGTTTTCTATAAGTTTGTCAACATGTTGTTCACAATGTTTATCAATAAATATTGTATATATAACATAAGCAAGGAAAAATAAATTATATATTTTTGACAAAACAAATATAGTTTATTTTAACCTGACCTGTATATTGAAGTATTTTTATAATATGCTACAATTGATTATTACTTTAAATTGTTAAGAAGAATGGAAGTAAAATTAAGTTCGTTATTAAATAATTCAACAAATATAAAACTAAGCTATAAGTTTTTGATCAATGATTGTTTTTTTCAATTTTAACTAGTCAATTCAATTTTTTTATTACTTTGTTCAGAATTATGTTATTTTATATAGTTAAAATATTAATTATAAAATTGACATGTTGACAAACTTATAGAAAACCTTAGAAAAAATTATTTATGTATATGTACATAAAATGTGAATGGTTAATTGAGTAGAATTTAAATTACTTATTATTATAATTACGCAATGTAGAACTCATATAGGGATATCTGGTGATTAGCAAACGTTTTACCTGTTTTATCGACTAACTGCCGCATATTACTAATTTTTACATTTTCCTTAATTTTTGATAGAAAATCGACAAAAGGAAAATTGTTTCGTAATCCGGGAATAAGGAGCTATCATCCGCTATCGATATTATTTCTTTTTAAACAGGAGAAAAATGTTTAATGCATTTTGCGCGCTGTACGAACACCCGATTTTTTTCGCAATTTTCTTAAAAACGGAAAATCCGGAAATAAAATTTCAAGCGGAGACATAATCCGGAAAAAGGGAGAAAACGTTTTAGCTCATGAAAACTCAAAAATATGATTAAAAAATTTTTTTGGGCGTCAGATTCACAAGTCTGTAAACGTAATACACGTACACACACACATGCGCGCGCGCGCATGCTCGCATGAATTCACGTAAAACTGTATAGTATCCGGACACATTAAAACGTTATATTCATAATCATTGATCTCGAAAACGTAGGAAAATAAAAATTACGCAATTGAAAAGTTTTACTACTACAAAACCTCTTGGAGAAAGCAATATAGTCAAGCAAATAAATGTATACTGAATCTTTCAAATATTGCGTTCGTAGTGTCTATATGGTAATGTAGTTTGTATCTATATTTCTTTCTTTACAATATATTAGTGATTTAATTTTTTTATTGAGCTTCACAAAAATTAGTGTTCAATTAAGTTTTAAGTAACATAAAATTACATTATACGATCTTCAAAAAATACAGTTAGTTAGACATTGTATCTAATTGTGTCAGTTGTCATAAATTTAATCCCAATTTGTTTCAAACTTTGAATTCATAAAAGATTTTTGATTAAAAGTTGAAGTCCCAGGACTATTTCTAGACAATAGAACAGTGTCTTCTGTTGCGGATAGGAGAGCAAAGAAATACAAGCTTAACTTAAATTCAAGTTTAATTGACACACAGATACAATTAAAAAAATGTATGAATAAATGAAGTTAAGTCAATGCCAGAAATTGAAAGCATTAAATATTATAAATTTAAATTGAACTAGCCAAATTGATGGAATTATAGTCAATGCAAAATAAAGTATATAACTATTACAGAGGTTTCCTCCCTCTATCCCCTCTTACTCTCCCGCACGATTCGAAGCAGCCTATTGGTCCAGCGTCTCGCTTTGCTCCTGCCCCTATTTTCCTTCACCCTCTCTTTCCCTCTCCGAAGTGCAATTGTATATTTCCAAACAATCAAATGCAAATATTTCGCCACACCTACAGAGAAACAATGCTCACCTTCTCAATATAAGATGTATTTTTCATTTGCCAGTTAATATCCGTCTATGTGCTCACCAACATCGAAATCGTTCCAGAGGTACATGCATGCATACGTATAAGAATGTATAATATAGTATACCTGTCTCCCATCTTTGAAGTCGGTAAAAATGGCGGATGTAAGTTTGAGAGACTCTGCTTTAGGTGACATATGGGTAATTCTTGGCTATTTCGATTGACTTGTAACCCTTAGATTATGGATTTTTTTTTAATTTGGCACAATTGTTGTACGCATAAAAGTGAAATTTTTCCCAAATTTTTAAGACGATACATTAAATATATCAAAAGTTATTAACAATTAAAGAAAAATGATAATAAATTTTCAAACTGCTATATTTTAAAAACTAATAAAGATATCGAAGTCAGATTTTTTAGAAAATACTTATAATGCCTTAAAATTTCGAAATAATTACAACAATAAACAATAAAAGATTGTTGTCGAAAGTTATTAACTTTTTATTTAAACAATTGCTAATATCTCAAAAAGTATTTTTTTTTTGAAAAATTCCTGCGTATTCCTGAGGATTTTTGCTATCGAAATCAATCATAAAATTCAAGGGCCCGACATATCGGAAAGCGTAGCCTTAATTAGAAGAAAACGCCTCAGCGTAAGACCACGAAGACGTCCCGTTGCCGTTGCGACGTACACCGAGGCATCTTCTTTTGATTAGAGCTATGCCTTCCGATATGTCGGGCGCTTGAATTTTATGATTGATTTTGATAGCAAAAATCCTCAGGAACGCACAGGAGCAAGACTTTTTCAAAAAAATATATACTTTTTGAGATATTAGCAATTTTTTAAACAAAAAATTAATAACTTTCGAAAAAATTTGTTTATTGTTTATTGTAATTATTTCGAAATTTTAAGGCATTATAAGTATTTTCAAAAAAATCTGACTTCGATATCTTTATTAGTTTTTAAAATATAGCTGTTTGAAAATTTTTTATCATTTTTCTTTAATTGTTAATAACTTTTGATATATTTAATGTATCGTCTTCAAAATTTGGGAAAAATCTCACTTTTATGTGTACAACAATTGTGCCAAATTAAAAAAAAATCCATAACCTAAGGGTTACAAGTCAATCGAAATAGCCAAGAATTACCCATATATGTAGTGGATAGCCTCGGTGGACTCACCTCTCAATTTATGACAGTGATTTGTTGCCATGCAGATCTCCCGAAAAGCAAGTGGAAACAAAATGAAGGACAAGGACGAAAAGGCACTCCCACGCTCTATGGTCGTCGCATGTTTGCTAGACGTAGAGTAGGTATAATGCTGCGCTTTATCGTGTTCGACTGCCAATTCCATTTGCTGAAAATTTCGAATAAAAATTATGGAAAGCAAAAGTAAGTACATCTTGTATCTATAAAAATATGATAACAATGATAGATTTAGTATGAAAATCCTATCGCGATTGATTAAGTGTGCGATTGTCGTATACAAGTATAGAGACGAGTTAACATGAGTTGAATTGCAATCACACGAAATATACACTTTTTATGCTTATTGCGTAAACTATATTTTTCGTAGAACATGTATTGATTTTCATTATTTCTCAACCTTATTCATGAGATGACTAAATTTGATATTGAGAAATCTATAACATATTTTTTGGAAAACGTTTACTTTAAGCCCTTTTAGGGTGTAAAACTGAGAAAATTATGCTCTCAATATAAAAACTTTTTCATTACTTTCAGTTTTTTATAGACAAATAATAACATATTGTCCCCTAGCAGCAAATAAAATCAATGTTATGCGACCAAAATGTAGTATCGAATAAATTTACTTATTGGGAATCAAATTACAGCATAAGAATTGCACATAAATAATAGATACATGCACACATGTAATAGTACATTTAGATACTAATGTGAGAAAGCGATTCAACCCTCGTGTAAATTTTGGCGCCCGCGTAAATTGAGGGTGAAGAAGCCACACAATAGCCAACTTTTTAAATAAATAGATTGGCGAGAATGATGTTTTGCTTTTTTTATTGCTTTCTTGTTATTAAAACAATGTATATTAATATTTCGTTGATGAGCAAACTTTTAATTTTGCTAACTTTTAAAAATATTTTTCATAGTTCAGTTAGTAATTTAAAAGTAATTTTTATGTATCAGTTATATAACTATTTCAAAATAGAGTACAGTTTTTATTTATTCTACTGTACTAACATGTAGTATAACTTAGCTTATATCTAAAAAAATGTACAAAATTGAAAAATATTATACAAAAAATGTGGTTTACTAAATAGACAAGTGAATATATAAACAAATAATTTATTGATACTCGTATTACAAATCTAACTACAAAAGACGTATTTTTACCAATTGTGGTCGTACGCGGAAAAAAATTGCCCCGAACATTTACAGGGTAAAAATTACGGTGACTCTTTGTAATTTAAGGATGAGAATAACAATCTGTAAAAATTAAGGTCTAAAGAATTTTTACGGTGGTAGTTTCACAAAAATGGTGGAGCTGTCATCGTTAAATTTTTATGTTGTTTCACATGCATCGATGGTTTTTCAACAAACTTATTATTCTAAACTTTGACTAATCAAAGTATTCTTTACAATTATATTAATGAATAACATGATAAGATTTAATTGCAAAGAATAAATCATTGAGATGCAAATCATCCAAAGAAAAAGTTTTTGAAGATTATAGAGTTATTAAATTCTTGGCTCGCTTAATGAACGTAGTCAAAGTAGGGTATGATCCCAAAGCTAAGAATATACAAATGTACATAAAAACTAACATTCAGTAAGCGCATACAACTGTGGAATAGACGAGCGAATCTTTTCAGATGGGAAAAAGCGTTCGCCGAGGCAAGACACGGAAATATGCCACCTACACGACCGGTCGGCTTATTCCGCGTGCGGGTTTCCCCAGGCATTTATTGTTCGGTGTTGCCATCTGCATGTTCCGGCTTAGGAGGTTTAGGGAGCTTAATGAGCAGATAGGAAAAGCAGATTTACAGCAGCTTATTGAATGCATTACTCTGAACATAATGGATGTTACACTTGAATGCGATAGTTAAGACATTTTTATTCCCACAGACTCGTTAAGTGTCCTTCAAACCTTTGAATCTAGAAATAACATTAAAGTCCATCCGTACATATATATAATTAAACAAAAAATAAAAGTGGCTTAAAGAAACACATAATAACTATACAACATTCATCTCTTTCGCATTCCGTCACATATAGAAATTGAGGGTAATGATAGCGCAGATAAGATAACAAAACTTACGACTGGAAAAGCACATATTAATTTCCTCAAAGTTCTATTTACAGATACGTATTACATTTTCAAAAGAAAAAAAAACAAACGAAGTTGTTCTGCAAACAGGAATAGCAAAAGGTAAACTGCATTGCGAACTATATTATATAGGCAGCAAGAAACCATGGCTTAATAACAAAAATTTCATTTCAATAAATCGTACTAAATCTAATTACTATTGTATGGCAAAATGACTAAATAGAATAAATAAATAAATAGAAAACCTTCTGTTTTCTGCCGCTTGTGGGAAAGAAGCCGAGAACTTGAACCATGTTTTATGGCAATGCAAACTGTATGATGAAGAAAGAGAACTAATGTTCAAAAATTTGTATACATAATTTTCGTTTATATCGCCCTTTATTAGAAATGATAATCGCGAAACCGTATATCGCAGCACGTCAATGCATTCTCGATTTTTTATATAAGTGTAATTAAAAAATTTTAATCTATGTAGTAGTTAAATTAATTATCTACTACAACTGTAAAGTAAAAATAAATTGTGCGTGTGTGTGTGTCTCTGTGCGTATGTGTGTGTGCGCACGCGTATAGATTAGTTTGAAATATTATGATAAAAAAACCTCAACCTATTTTGATAAACTCTCACGGTCATCCCTAAGTCCAGCTTAGATCATCGAAAAATTCACTGTGATGGCATAATTAAGGGTGAGGTCAGCGTTTTACGACATGAATACTGGAAGCGCAATTTACGCAACAGGTATATGAGCAAAGATTTTGGTGTCTGGACAATTATATTTTAAATTTACAATACTTTTTAATTAAAATTTCAACGGATTTGTAAAACTTTTACTTGTTTTCTTTCTAAACTTTCAATGCTTTAAAAATTACGGATATCGGTGCACTTAATTTTTTCGTAAAAATTACGTAGATTTCTTCGCATAAATTAACTGCTCAGTTGGCATTGTTCTTGTTTTAATAACCCGTCATTTTTCCAATAAACTTTTTCTTCTTGTAGAAAAAACTCAAAAGATATTGCTAATTAAAGCCATACGGTTGTTATAAAAAGTACATTTGTTTCTACTTGTCCATTGTTATACAACCAATAATAATTAAGTTAGTCACTTTGCCTATAAATGACATCCACACATCAAGTGATGCACTTTGATTTTGAATTGGAAAAAAAATATTTATAAGTATACATAAAGTCTAATGAATTTGTTATTTAATGAAACTTTAAGCGACAAGTAAAAAAGTATATCATACTTTGGAACACGACGAACAACAGATATACATACTCCCGTTTGCATAAAATCGGAACACCGATAGAAAGAACTATAGACATTGTCTTAATTTATCGAATGTATACATACGAGAATTTGTTTGTGTACAGTCTTCAGTGTGTTTATTGTGTACAGTTTGTGTCTCGGTTTCCTCATACGACTTTTGACTCGTAGTCTTTAAGTCCGGGGTTCATTTGAGTTTGATCTTATTTTGTTGACAACGTTGAGCTGATATACAACAGTGGCAGAGGTAATTAACGCTTTCAAGTTTGGCGTTTATAGTTGAAATTCTTTTTTCTGCTAAGTAAAATGAGCAGTGGTGAACGTAAGGAGTCTAAAAATCGCGTGAGCAACGCAACACGAACTGCCTTTACTTACGGGAATGAAGTGATTACGGCTTTGCACATTTGTTCGGATGAATTAACAAAGGTGAAGGAAGAGTTGCAATTGGCGCATAAGTCAGTTGCGTGCCTCGCCGATCCAAACCATGTGGCTGGAATATGCCCTACATATAAAGGTAATTCTGATCCGCATTAAAGCGAACATGCGAAAAATAGTCGCATTTGTACGCAAGGATTGGCATTCGATTAATTTTCGACAGCACCTGACGAGGATGATACGGACCAGAGCTTATTTGACTTGCGATACGAGGTGATGCAATTGAAGGCAGAGCTGTCAGATAAGAACGAAAAAATTAAGAGTTTGGCAGCGATACTGATGTCCATTAAGAATGCTACGGAAAACCTAATCGGGGGTATCGGACGTAAATACGAGATCTCGAAGGCTGTAACAAATGAGACGATACTCAAACTAGCCACACTGACAAATTTCCTGAAGAAATTAAAAGAACTGAGCACGCCGATTTCCTTAAGTAAGCTTTGCAATAGTCACAAATGATTCGGATGGTTACTCGCAACGATATGAAAAGCATCCCTATAGGTCATCACGCGGCGTTCGCTGCGCGCCTCGAGGAGAACGCGAATCGCGAGAATAAGCTGAAGCAGCAGCTGGCCGTTGCAGAGAAGGATCGCAAGCATCTCGATCGACTACTTCGTCTAGCTGTCCAGCAGACAGTGTGTCTGACAATGAAACACGAGGAATTGTCGAAAGCAAGAGACGATGTCCGGCTGTCCGTCATCACTAAACCAAGTAATAAACAATTTTTCAGAAAAAGAACTTATTTTAACTTAGATCCGTACTAATTTTAGCTTTTAAGAATAATTTGATCACTCGATCAATATATAAGAAATGAAAACTCACAATACATAAAAAAGATTTTTATTCCCGTTGAAAATCAATTTTTCAGTTTATTTCAATTGTGTCAAGTGCTTTGATAATAATTCAGGAGTATTTAAAATATTGTAAATGAACCAATCGTATTTTTTCATTTTTTTAAGTTAAAACACTCCTCCCCTCCCCCTCCCTCTATACATAACATGACAGTTAATGCAAATACTGCTTTTATTATGTAGAAAAGTGTTCGCGGAAATATATTACGGAGTATAGCTGATTAATAAGCGATACGCAAATATCGCATTCATGATTAAAATGTTCATTAACCATACCTCATTCTTTTTTAACAAGGTGATCAAACTGTTGAAAATAATCAACGTGATGAGTCCGTGGGCGATTTGAAAGATGTTACTCGAAATGTAATAGAATACAATGAAAAAGTGCAAAAAGAACCAGTTAATTTGATAACTGAAGAACCTGACGATTCACTGAATGAATCAGATAATTTACGAAAATCAATAGAAAAGCTTGAGAAACAGATGCAGCAGATGCAATTGTCAGGGGCGTACCTCGAGTATCTTGCAAACAAAGAGGACGTTGCCAAAATCATCGAGAATGAGACTGTGAAGGATCATTAAATGGTTGTGTTAAATAATGCGTCGAATTTGAGGCATTGCTCAAAAACAGAAAAGCTGAAATATGCTCCATTGATCAAGGTACGGTATAAGCAAACTCGAATAAATAAAGAAAAATTATTAGCAAAATAAACACATGAGTCGAACTCAGTAGAATGTCAATAAAATAGTACATTGCGATACGAGTGCGGGAAAGTAGATTTTTGTCTCGTGTGGCATTTACACCCTAGCGAAGCGAGGGTGGAAAGGTACATGAGACGAGAAACTCTTAAATAAATAAATTTTGTTCATGCTGTTAGTAATAGTTACTCGTGTTCTTCCACTACTTATGATAGACCTGGCATAAAATAGGAAGCATTCAACCGATATTACAAATTCTAAAGTCTGACAAACAATTTATATTTCTCTTTCATAATACGGTAAAAGTTGAGTGACTTAAACGTAACATACTGTCTTGATTCCCTTATGATTTTTTAAATGATAAATTTTATAATGAATATAATTCAGCTGAATATAATTAAAATTAAGTGATTTTCCATCTATCGCTATTTTCCTTCTTTCCATCATTACAAAATTTATCATTGAGTGATTTAAAATGAAAGTGGTTGACTATACGTTGATCCGATACGTCGCCTTGCTAACTAATGGGCATTCTGTCTGAGAACGCTGGCGGGAATCAGGATAGGGAAAAGTATATAATTCGATAATTTAGTATCGGACAATTGCATTGATTCAATGGCAGCTGTTTTGGCCAAGTCGATTATTTAATATTTTTTGAAAATTCACTCTTCATCAGAAACATTGACTTTCGATTGTTTAACCTAATTGACATGGTGATGTTATAACTACATTTTTAATAATTATGCTTGAAAATAAGTAATCGAATAATATATCTGTTCATATAATTTGATATGTTGTGTGTGTGGGAATGTGTGTGTATAGAGTGCTTTAAGAAGATCATACTTTTTTAATGAACCAAATTGTTTCAAAACATTTAAATGCCTATAGATTTGGAGAAGAAAGCACACTACGCAAGGACAACACTCGCGTAAAAAAGTTTAAGTGTCATGCCTGTCGATCTCAAGAATCAGCATCACAAAAAATATATCAATGAAAACTATTTAATAAACTGTAATTAATGTAACGAGAAAACCAAAGGTTATAAAATCCAATTTATATTTGACACAGAGCGAGCGTTTGCATTGTTAAAAATCTAAAGCTACCTGTACAGGTTTTGTTTGCATAATTGTAATACGTTATTCTTACAGGAGAGTAAGTAGTAAAGTTTATCTGTAATTGTATGATAAATTAAGTGATGTATTTTATTAGATTATTACCGTATGAAATCCTTTCAAGTTTGTTGCTGGATAATAAAATTGGTTTGTTAACTACAAATGAGACGATTTACTTTACATTTCCATATTTTGCAATTACATTTTGAAACAATTAAAAAATGTGAATTTTTTTTCATTTTACAATTATTATTGATTGCATTATTGTGAATAGTATATATTAATTGTTAACGTATTGAAAAATTGTGGTAACATAATTTTAAAAGAATAAAGGCTCGAATTTAATATTCATATCTGGAAATGGGATATCGAGTAACATTGCATCATAAACAAAGTCACCAAATTAATACAATTACGGAAGCGGAAGTAATCTACAATATTCTTTAAATCTGCTAATTTTATACACCTGATGCTGACGCTCAGGTTATATATATATATATATATATATAAAGTTGTAATGGTTCGTTTCCACTTGCTCATCATCATGATCGTGAATTGTTAGTATAATTCAACCCGCTACTTTAACAAGAATGTAATGAAGTATGTAACAAAGTTGAATGTGAAATATTCTGATCGTAAAATTGAAAAAAAAATATTTGGATTTGTTCAATCAAAGGAATGCTTTTTTAATTCATTATTATTATTATTATATAGTGAATTTGTAATAAGCGCAAGTGGACGAAGTAGCATTAATAAATACTTTTCGACGAGTCTGCGCACTGTGCTTGTTAAACAGAGACACAGCATATGCAGAGTTAAAAAGAGAGAGAAACCGCCCGTGGAGCGACTGGTAGAATTAAAGTGCGGCGATGTACGCATCTCTGGTCGGCAGTGCTCGTCGGCGGTCGTTCACTAAAGGAGCCTGAAGAAGAGTTACTGTGCCGCATCGCCATGAATACGACGACCACCTCGTGAAAAGACCGCTGCTCTTATACACATTCGCGTATACACAATACATACGCGCGCCGTAGACATTCTGCTTCTACGAAGACGAACCGGCAGGTAAAAGGCGATGGAGTCTGTCTGTTCCTCGCGGTAACAAATTGTTGTTAAGAACAATAGTACCGATAATAACAACGACGAGGACGAAGGGCGTGTGCGATGGACGACGTGGTGGCCGAGTTGAGAACCGAGATCGAGCGACTGTCTCGGGAGCTGGATCTCGCTTCTACCGAGAAGATCCAGTCGGCCCAATACGGACTCGCTTTACTCGAAGAGAAGGGTCAACTCCAGCTGCGATGCAACGACCTTGAAGGTCTCTACGACCACACCAAACACGAACTCGAAATCACTCAGGAGGTTAGTTTCCACGCGCCCCCGCTACTCACCTTTTTTGGATAGACACCGCGCTCTTGGGCCTTTCTTTTTTTTTTATTTTCGTCATTTTATTTGGTTACACCTGCGCGACATGTATGACATTGCATTGTACAACCTTCGGTATTTCTTAAATATCACTGATTATGAATGTCAGCTTATTTTTCTGCTTTCACCGTTATTTCCGATTGAATGAATACTTTTTGACTTTTGGGCTTAATTGATGTCATTACCTTGTTACACTTGTAACAAGATTGGTAATAAGTCATGTCTCTATCACGCTTTAGTTGATTAAATTTGCTTATGATGATTGTTCATGCAAATGTTGCATGCCTTGGTATATTTATTTTGCCTTACTTAACAGATAGCTAATATTCTAACAGGTAATTATAGTTTATTTTATGACTCATGAAATACTATTAAATTTATTCAAATTATATATGAGCAATTTTATCTTCACTTTTTGAGTCCTTATATTTATTTAGAGATATTTAATATTTGAATCTTATGACTTAAGTAAATTAATAAAATTTTCCATAAGAAAGATCTAAAGTATTAGACTTAATTTTGGGTTGACTGGAATGTATGCAACTATCGTAACTTAAAACTCAATGCTATGTCTCCAAAAATAGAATTTCATGAACCCTTTATATTTGGAACATTTCTTAGAAAATTCCATTTGCACAAAGCCATTAATAATATTATTATTACATAAAAAATTAACAAACTTTTATTTACAATTATATTTCTTTTTACAAATTATGTATATTTATAATAATTTAATTATGTTTTGCAGGCTTTGGCAAAATATCAAACAACTACAAAATTAACAACTAAGAGTGGTATTGAGCAAGAAGAGAGCTTATTAAATGAAAGTGCTGCAAGAGAAACTAGTTTACAGACTCAAATTATTGAGTTGGAAAGTGAAGTGAAGCAGGTAATAACTTGTTATCAGCTATTCAATCTTATTCAATAATATTCCATTAATAATACAAAGAATAATTAATTTTATTTAGTTGCGCCATGAGTTGGAGCGAGTGCAAGCAGAGCGTGATCATGCTCTACAAGAAAGAGAAGACGTAGGCAAAGACCATTTGGTGGTTGAGACAGAACGTAGAAGTTTGCGCACAGAGCTTAAAGAATGTAGATTTAGAGAGTCCAGATTATTGCAAGACTATACAGAGCTTGAAGATGAAAATATTTCCTTACAAAAGCAAGTGTCCATACTACGTTCCAGTCAAGTAGAGTTTGAAGGTGCCAAACATGAAATTCGTAGATTATCCGAGGATGTAGAATTTTTGAATAGCCAAGTAGAAGAACTGACAAACTTAAAAAAAATTGCCGAAAAACAAATGGAAGAAGCACTGGAATCACTGCAAGCAGAGCGAGAAGCAAAATATGTTTTAAAGAAGGAACTAGACCAGAGAATGAACAGTGAATCCATTTATAACCTTAGCAATCTTGCACTTTCGATTCGTGGAATGACAGATGAACAAAATATCTGTAGTGATGGTGAAGATGAATCTCCAGCATTGCGAAGGATTGAAGATGACTTGAAAACTCAAGAACCTGGCACTTCTACACCTAACAAACAGGTGAGTGGTTTTTTTGTCAAAGCTTTCAGTAATTCTTAATGAGACTTTATGATTACATTCTCTTATTATATTTTAGGTGGATTTGTTCTCTGAAATTCATTTGAATGAATTGAAAAAGCTTGAAAAACAATTGGAATTGGCTGAAAATGAAAAGGCAGTACTGACTCAAAATCTAAAAGATTCACAGTTTGTTGTTGAGAAAAGTCAAGGTGAACTCCAGTCTTTCATTGCAAGAATAGTCCAGTTAGCTGCTCATGTTCAATCTTTGCAACACATTCATTCCAAGCTGCCAGAAAAACAAGGGGATGATACAACACTTGACAAACTAAATTTGGTAATGATAAATTTTATTCAATTTTTATCTGATAAATATCAGAGTAAACTTTATGGCTAAGTTTTTAAAAATCTTTATAGGCTGTTATTCAATACCACCAGTGGAGTACCATGTCAGCACAAGAAGTTCAACAACTCCAAAAAGATTTGACTGAGCTTGAAAGGGGTTTGACGATATCTGATTCTACTCAACATCTAAGAACAGAATTAACAAATCTTCGAAATAAGGTAAGTTTTTTTCATTCATTTTTACTTTAATAAACAACTGATTTTATTAAATGTTTCCATTTTATATGGTGTGGTACAAGGGGGTTTCTTTTTTTATTTCTTAATTTAACATATATTTTTGTATAATACAATGGATAAGTGTGAACATTATGTGGTCAATATAAACGTAAATCAAGCGCTTAGGAAAATATTTGAGAACAATTATGGCATTTCAGATACCTGTAACAGAGAAGAGTCTCCAAGAAAAGGTTGGGGAATGTGGTCCTTCTAATGTATTTAATAATTTGATAGTATGGTTTTGCCTCCTCAAATTAATATTTACAGCTTTTCAATGCCCTAACTATGATATCCACAGAGACATTTAATTCTTAAATAATTTGAATCAAAATCCTTAAAAACTGTAGTTAGAATCTGACAAATGAGTGCATATTTTTTTATAAAAGTGTTGATGTATTTGTCAGAATCCACTATAAAGTGTTCTGTGTATACTATATATTGATTAATTTTTGACATGTCATTAAAGATGAAGAGATAAAAATCATAGTTTCTGCATCCTTAATACTTCGGTGACCATCCTTCTCAATATTAACTGCATCAAATGTATTAGTAGAAATTAATCTATTTAATTTGAAAATTATTTTATAACAATAAGCTTTTTCTCACTCAATCTTGTCTTATCTTCTGTGGCATGATGATAATAATAATAATAATTTACAGTCTTGAAAAGCCTGGATGCATGAAACAAAACCCTCATTAAATAATTTGCACTTCTTATAAGACAAAAAATTACTTCAAAGATCAAATTCTACAAAGATATGATGACAAATTGACTGTCATATATGATACATACCACATGATGCGTTATTTTGAAATAATTGATCAGCCTCTTGAATATTTACGTTTATAAATTGTAAAATATAATTTGCACCAATAATTAACTATTCAAAAGGCTAATTCAAGTTTTCACGTGAATGATTGTTGCAAAATGAATAGTTTATCAACATTTTCTATTATTTTAGCTGTTGGATACCGAGCAGAGGAGTATGTTGTTAGAGTCGGATGTTAGTATCCTTTCAAAACTTGCAGTAGAGGCTGGTAGTTCTTTGGAATCATCTCAAAACGATCTTCAAAATATGTCCGATGAGCTCGCTCAACTCTATCATCACGTATGCACAGTTAACGGTGAAACACCTTCAAGGGTACGTTAACGACGAAAGGTTTTTAAAGTAATAGATACAGTTCAAATATTAATTTGACTAATATATTCTGATATACATTTGTAGGTCATTCTAGATCATGAGAAAACAGCCCCTGAAAGCGAAGAAGACGGTGGAAAAATTGAATGGTGTAGGACGCTCTTCAAGACTGACATTAAAATCAAAGATCTCGAGAGTCTTAGTAAAGCTAAGGAAATTACCAAGAGTATTGAAACTGCCATGGATCAAATTAAACATCTGAAAAATGCCGTGGAACACACGATCGAATTGTCGAAAATCAAGGGCATTAAAACTGGAATGTGTGCTGTGTGTGAAGGTAATATATTCAAAGAGTAATAAACTAAAAAACTGTCAAATTAACTTTTAAAATGTTAATTATTTTTAATGCCCACATTTAACTTTTAGCCTCTGTTAGTGAGAATAAATTGGAAGTGGCAGAGTTGCAAGAACAAGTGATTCGACTGAAATCTTTGCTGTCTGCCAAACGAGAGCAAATAGCGACTCTCAGAACGGTTCTGAAATCCAACAAGAATACCGCTGAAGTGGCGTTGAGTAATCTCAAAAGCAAATACGAAAACGAGAAGACTGTGGTGAATGAGACAATGCTAAAATTGAGAAACGAGCTAAGGACATTGAAAGAAAGTGCAGCAACATTCTCAAGTAAGTTTCACAATGTTTACAAGTAATGTTGGTTTTTTTTCACATCGATATGCGATGTAAAAGTTGATTAATAACATGATTGTACATTTAAATGCTTGCGTCAACACATATTTATTATTCATTAGCAAGCTTTTAAAAGATTACGTTTTATTTATTTGTTCTTTTGAAAACTATGCACACAGTCTTGTCTTTAAAAAGTATTATTTTACCTCATAATATATAGCTTATACGCATTTTTTATCTTGATACATATAATAATCTGTTTGTTTTTCCCTCTTTTTCTTTTACTAACTTGCTTGTAACTAATGCTACGTTTTGTAACACATATAATAGCCTTAGCTTATATATTTGTATTAATATTCAGTTGCGTTACTTTTGACCTGGGACTAGCACTGGTTGTTTGTATTAGAAGTTCTTACGTGGCCATTTAATTTTTAAGTCGATGAAGGTTTACAGTTCCTATAATATGTTGACTATTAACATAATAACCAGTACCATGCAAAAAACGGTTACATGTCAGTTGAAGAAAAAGAAACTATATAATTTGTATCACATTCATTTCATTTTACATCTCATTTATTGATGGATTGACTCGGTAATTTTGTGGAAATAAGCTACGTTAACAGAAGTTTGTTAACGTCATTAGTGAGACGTTCATTCATTTGGTGATGGAATGAAGATCTTTTAGATGGAAAATTTTCATTCTTATGTTACTAAAATTCATATGTTCTTAGCTACGTGTGTTAATTATCATTGGCACAAGTGTACGTAATAATGGCTTTTGGAAATCATTGAATCTAACTAAAATTAAAAAATGACTTGTACAGTAAAGAAAATAAATTATTAGAAAGTAGCACTGCAAGTGAATTCAAATTCCAGTTGCTTTTCGCTTTGGCTCATCAGCATACAACACGCATACATCTCTCTTACTCTCTCTCTCTCTCTCTCTCTCTCTCTCTCTCTCTCTCTCTCTCTCTCTCTCTCTCTCTCTCTCTCTCTCTCTCTCTCTCTCTCTCTCTCTCTCTCTCTCCTCTCTCTCTCTCTCTCTCTCTCACACGTGTCTTCATAAGTCCCCTTTAACAAGAGAAAATACTCGCCCACGCCCACAGGTCTGCGCGCAATGTTCGCTGCGCGTTGCGAGGAAAATGCGACGCGCGAGGATGAGTTGAAACGCCAATTGGCAGTCGCCGAAGAGGACCGCAAGACACTCAACCAACTACTTCGTCTAGCTGTCCAGCAGAAACTGTGTGTGACAATGAAACTCGAGGAATTTGAAGTCGATCGAGAACTGAGGAACACAAGGCGGCACTCGCAGAACGCCGCTCAAGGTGGAGGTGGTGGTGGTGGAAATGGAGGCAGGGGCCGTGGTAGGCTGCCACAGCAGACGAACCGTCCTCATCAGGGCAGGGACTTCTTCTAGAAGATGGTCAAGATGTGGGGCAAAATATTCTGAGACGCGCCCAATACGGAACGACCGCGCGAGCTCGATAGATCTTTCAAGAGATTTTAAAATATTCTGTACAGACTACTAAGCTGTCGGCTTAGAATTTTTATAAGATTTTACAAATCGACTTCGTTAGATTTCTAATAATCATTCTTTTTTTAAGATAAAATTTGAAAATCGGGTATTGATGAGATTGACACTCTTGAAATCTATCTTTGAATATAGACTTTGTGAATTTGTTGACAGAATAACATTGGTACAATATAAAAATATAGGTGAATATTAATTTTATAAAATTCCAAGTCTGTTGTAAAATTGACGAGTCTCTTTTCAGAAATGATAGCTCGATTGTTGAGTGAAAATACATTCATACACTTCATCGTCACCTTTCTTCAATTGTAAAATGAATGATTCCATCAACATTAACTCAACAATCGATTGAATGGCCATAAAAAGCTCGTAAAAACGTTCCATTAAATTTGCTCCACGTCGCGACAATCTCTGCCTCTTGTTACAGCGTATCGTGCGATTAGATACGTAAGTCCACGAAATAGTGAAACGACGTCTCAGTGCGTGAATAAATTTTTGGAATGTTGAATTGCGCTGAACATGCGTCTAATAAAATTTTTTATGCGCGAAAGAAGGATAAATAAAATCTTCTTGTGTGTTAAACAGTAAAAAGAAGGAAAAGAGAAATTACAATCTTAAATTAAATTATTTATATTATTTTAACGTTCCGAATGGGTGTCGGAAAAGGCGTATTTTGTGCAATTATTTTAATATTATTTTATTGTATACAATACACTGTAATAAGTTATGATTTTTTTATTGTTTTTTTTCTGCATATGCACCTTATTGTAACCGATGCTACTACGACAGTTTTTGTATTATTTTTTGGCAGCTTTTTTCTATTTTTTGTATACTATCTGACATATCTAAGGCAGCTCGATTAGAAAACAAGTGAACATATTAAATGAGTGAAAAGGAAAACTAGGAAAAAATTTATATATATATATATATATATATAATGTAAATGAACTACCTGTATTTGTAGTTAGAAATATTATATTTAAAAAGGTCACAGCATCACTTGCATACATTGGTTGACTGAAATTGCAGAATTTGAGTTTCCCGTGTTTGAAATAGTACATTCCCGCATTTGTATCGTAATGTACTATTTCGATACGACGCGTGGAAAGCTCGGTTTTTGAACGCACGTTATTGGCCGTTCGTGCGGAAAGTACGTACTTTCCGTACGGAGTATCGAAAAGAGATTATTGTTTAAGTGATTTTATTTGTTAAAAGAGAATTATAATTTATCTAAGCTTAGTTATAATCAGTGATAAGTGTGAACAAGTGTTTAACAAGTTTATTAAAGATTTATAATATTAACTATTAATTATTGCATTAACTAATTACCACTTCTATCATTATACTTACACGAAACTTTAACAAAAGGAAAGTGGAAGAAAAATTAAATTTAAACGATCGTTTCAACGAGCATTTTTTTTTTCGTTGATACCAATATTTTACTGTTGAATATGTTTGTAAATTGAATGATTATTGTATGATATAGTAAAATCTCCGCTCAAAATTTAATAGGCAATAGTACGACATAGACAAAGTAGATTTAATTACAAATAAATGTAGTATTAGCTGATTCATATTCTCTAAAAAAAAGTTGTCGATGAACTTGTAAGTATATTAACCGTTGACGATACTTCTAGAGTATTTAGAAATTCCTTCCAAATAAATCACGAGCGGAGATTCAAAATATGTCCATTAACCAAACCGAGCCTCGTAAGGACCGTCCCTTGTCCTTTCTCCTTACACCACCGTACGAGCTACGTCCACTTATTTATAATGCCTGGAACAGCCAATTATTTATATTTTTTGAATATTTTTAGAAGGCTGTTCTTGAAAATCTGTCAACGTAATAATTGGCGATTACGAATATATGTTATAAAATGAGGTTCATTTGAATCTTCTAGTAATATAAATACGAGGATAGTTTTTTACGTAAGACAATAAGTGTGAGAGAATAATGAGAAAATTTTTCAAATCTTCATGATTCAGCATTTCAATATTTCAATTAAGCTTTTTCTCTCATACGTACGATCTTTCATACTTATATTATACCTGCAATGAAAGTAAGCATTAATGATTTATTTTCATATTATTTACTTGTATAAGTTTTAACATGTTGCAATCAATTTTCTATTGGATTTGAACAATATTTTCAATTATACAATAACATAATATTTCATTATGTTATCGATCAAATATTCTATTTTAATAACTTTTTGTTAAAATGCACATTATATCGTCCATAAAAAAGTTCCTTGGAATTCTGCACTTGACTTCAATTTAGTAATATATTTATTAACTTAAAAATCTCGCATACACGATAAACTTGACGTTTCACTTTGAATGCCATAATAAATGTATCGATAAATTTGAATGTTTTGTGTTCTGCGGTGGTGTCTGGTTTAGCTATTTCGTAAAAAAATTTAGTAGTCATGCATAACAAAACAAACAATATTTACAATGTAGGATAAAATTTAGGTTTCTCTTAAAAAGTAGATTTTGCGTGTACTCTTGACGAAACGAATGTACTAACATACTTAATTATTAGCACTTAATTATTACAACAAAAATAATATTCCGTTCTAAAAATCTGAGAAAAACAGTATTCTATAAAATGTTGGTGAAAAACAAATAAAAAGGATTCGTGATCGTTTAAATGAATTGAACACTTTTTGAATTCTTTCCCATGGGAAAAAAGTAGCTCACGAAATAGGAGCATTACTAATAATTATATCGAATAGTAATAATGGAAAAAATATTTTTTCGTGTTAATACTCCGGTACAATGTAATAATAGTAAAAAGATAAATATTATCCTAATAACTGAAGAGAATTTTTTTATATTAACTTATACATTTTTGATAAATTCTAGCCGCAATCCTCAATTGTATCTGTGCGATGATCTATTATAGATATATTCTGATTTTAACAAACAATTTATTAATTTTTGTTGAAAAAGGCTAGAGAATCGAACATTTCAGAAGCTTTTCATTTTTGTAAAACTGCCGAGAAAACGTACTTGTAAATAGTGTAAATGCACTATAGTGATGTAGCATTGTAAGAATATCAGAATTTTCCAAAGTAACTGGACGAATTGATGGCACTTTTGTGTCACTATGCAAACAAATGAAAGCGAAGAGATATTTACAATACACGTATTTTGTCATTTAAATATTTGTTTGTCTAAACACGTATACTAATTATCTCGAAGAGACTTATGTCGATCAATGAATGAGTGAAAAAAATGGTGTCCGCAAAATTTTATTTCAATGCGGTGACGACGGTTACATGCGATTTTTCATAATAAATATTGAAAAAGCTGTTGTGTTGGGTGGCGTTACTCGTAATCATAATTGATTTTGTAACATCAAATAAATAATATACATTTGTAACTCTATGACTGCCTAATTTATTTTCGACCAATTTCTCTTTTATAGAGAAAATTCATTTTAAAAATAAAAATAACGTAATAAACATTTGAATTTTTGTTTCTTCAAAGCATCAACATAAGCTAGTTTATAAGTATTATCATGAAATACAAGTAATTTTCTACTTGTCTTATGTGGGAATCAGTTGTAAATACAGTAAAAACAGACAGTAAGACTGCACATAAACTATCGGACATAAATTCCCGACCCGGAAAGTTCAAAAGCTATATTATTTTCAAGGATTAAGCATCGATGGCATAAAATGGTTATTTTTTGTCCCAATTTCCGAAAGCACAACTTGACAAAATATGTGCTTTTCCTAGCCTTTTTTGGTGTCATCGTTGCTTAATTGTCAAAAGTAAATTGAATTTTAAACTATGCGGATGACGAATGAATATCCCAGGAGAGTCTGCAATAGCACAGTACCGGTCAAGCCAAATTTTAAATAATCACCACTTGCTAGAGAGAAAAATATTATAACATTAGGAAAGAATTTTGTGTGTGTATGTGTGTGTATATGTATACATATTGACATACATACTTTCATATATAAATATATTTCTACATTTTTTGATGATCCTAGTTTATATGTTGAAATTGGAAAAGTGCTTTCCTCACAATCGGATTCTCATTACTGGGAAAAGTTCACATCAGCGCCTCCACTAGTCAATGATGCAAGATTGCAACCCGTGATTCCGCCGTAAGATTTACATATCTAAATTTTATATTATTATGTTACATTTAATTATAACGTAATTATAAATCAAAATTCTAATACACCAAATATCATTACGATATTTGTAAAATGAGTTATTGAATTCGTTCTAAACAGTATCAAAAATCATTTTAATTTTTAAAATTAGAAAGATTATATAGATATAACTACAATTGTCGTGATTATTGACTTTATGTTGTTTGCTGATTGATTTATTTGAAAAATGCCGTTGATTCAATAATTAAATGATATATTCTTATAGGTTCTTACGCATCAAATAATGTTATCTAAATTTACAAATATTACGGATTATATGTCTTTCAATAAATTTTTTAAATTAAAATGATTTTTGATAGTGGTAATTTAATTCTAGTTTTGATTCTACATAACATTTTTTATTTAATTTATTTAATAAATTAATTTAATTTTTAATTGAATAAAAAATATGAAATAGTATTTATTAGAAAGGAAGATATTATTGAACATGTAAACGCTAAACTTTCTACATAAAATATTTATTCAGGAATAAATGAACATTTTAAGAATTATATGTATAAGATTCTGTCTATTATTAAAAATGATCAAATATACGATTATGCTATATAGATTTTTTATGCCAATTAACTTTTTGTTAATTTTTCTGTAGAAGAAATAATGTTAGATATAATATTACATTCTTTAAAAAATATTATTTTATTTTTTGGGTTCAATAGCAAAGCAAATATACTGCTGACATGGAATTTAAACTTCAAATTAATATTACGGTACAATTAAATATAGCGATAATAATATGTACCTATATTTAATGCAAAATGTTTCGGCAGATAAACTGCAGCCTACACCTATAGCCTATATGGTCTTGTGCTGTGGCTCTAACTAGTTTACGCCACCGCCAATAGAAGCGCTCATGCTTGGATATGAACTTTTCCATTCCCAATGCGGGCATGCGGCAGCGGACAGCTGCAATAAACAGGAACAACTCAACAACTGCCGTGACTCAATCACTTAATCAGAGAGGTTATAAAAGTAGCCTTTCAATTATACGTATACCTATCTATTCCTAGCTATTAATTATCAATTGTATAATAAAAATGTGAGTGTTTTCAAGTTCATGTAGCTCTACTGATAATATTCTCATGGGTTTTCTACGTTCCAAGCATAATCAGAAGGGCGCTCTTAACCTCATCAGTATTAATGGTACGTAAATAGAAAAACAATTATATTGCAGTAATTTGTTTATGAATTGAAGCTCTTCTGACTTTTTAACTACTTGCTAATTGCAGGTGCTGTCTAGCAACATTGTTATCTGTAATGAACTAATAAATATTTAACGATTATTTATTCAAAACTAAAAGGTTACAAAATAATCATTTTCAAGAAATTAATTTTGGAACTAGTTTTACTTATTTGTATAGTAATAGTAAAATCAATTCCGATTAGTAATTGTACATTGTTCAGCTTCATTATATAGCAAGAATACTGCATATAACAACATACATTGATTTCATTGATAGCTTACCAATTAAATATAACATGCCACAGCGTGTATATTTTTGAACACTGATACATTTTGCAGATAGCTGTTTCTCTTTTACATACTCAAAATTAATTTTAAACGTTTTGAGTGAATCGTTTTATTTTTATTTTTATTTTTAATTTTTTTGTCTCAAAAATGATAACAGGTAGTTTGAGATTTAAAGTGATATTTATAATAGTATTAACTGTATTGTTCTGGCAAACATCAAAATTATGGTCCTCATATTCAGAAAATACAAGAGTGAAAAAGATTTTCGAAAGTGCAAAAGAAAATACTCAACAAATATTGATAACTGTATATTATGAAGCACTCTGCCCAGATTCAAGAAATTTTATTATAAAACAATTAGTGCCTACATTTGAAAGTCTTGAAGATTATATTGAAGTACAGCTGATACCTTATGGGAAAGCAGAAACAATTGTAACATCTGATGACTATGTATTTAAATGTCAGCATGGAGAACTTGAGTGTGAAGCAAATATAGTTCATGCTTGTTCCATTAATAAAATAACAGATTCAAGAAAGTCTTTAGAGTTGATAGCTTGTATGATAAGAAATAATCTCCAGCCTTTTGATATTTTGGAAAGTTGTGCTGGTGGATTGGATGAGTACAAGACCATATTGAATTGTGCACAATCCAACGAGGGTAGAAGATTGTTAGCCAAATATGGAGAAGTCACCAATGATTTAAATCCAAAAGTCAATTTCATTCCAACTATTACTTTAGATAATGAGTTTGATAATCAAATATTGATACTTAAAAATCTAATGAATCAAGTATGTCAGCGATTATTATCTCCACCAAAAATATGTGACAGTTAACACATTCAAGAAAGTATTTTATAACTTGAATTACTTTTATAATCTTTTGAACCAAGCAGCCACATGTCCTATTTTTATGGCCACAGGTAGCTCAATTATTATGCTTATATTTCATGACTGTACAATATTTGTAAAAATAATTTTAGAACATGTCAAATTATTATTGAATGGACATGTTGATATGATGTACTAGTATATTTTTACTTAGTTTCAGTCGTAATTTTGCAACTTTGTAAAAAAATGATTTGTTTATCTATATGTTATAAATATATTTAATATCAATCGATCACAGTTGATCTGTTTTGCAAAAATCATTATATGATTGTAATTAGTAGGTGGAGCATTTATTATAATGCATAATATTTGTTTGCTTTGTAAAAAACTAATAAAAATAAAAAAATAAAATATTCTAAAAAATTATCTTACTTAATTGTATGATTGATTAAGCTGTATTTGCGGTATGTTGAAAGAAAAATAATTTATTTTCTCTGTGAAAAAATTAAATTGTCATTTAATGCTAACAATTTCATTCATTTTAATAATTACAAAGTTATTTGATATTTGATCAATTTATGAAAGGATTTCTTGGCATTTAGAGCACGAGTCTGGGGTGTTTGAACAATTAGCAAATCTAAAATTTGTCACAAAAACTTTTTGCTTAAGTTGCTTATTTACCGAAATATCAGATGAGTCAGCTTTATGCCACTCCATTGAAATGTCATCTACAGTTTTATTCAATCAATATATCCCTCTTGCTCTCGTAAATATTTCTAAATTTATTATATATATTATAAATTGTTATATTTTAACATGAAATTTGAAAAATTTTTAATGTTCAAAATACGTTTTTTGTCTATTAGCTTTTCTTTTCAAGTTTTTACAGATTAAACGCTTTTGCCGAAATTTTTCCCATTGTTTTCTCATCTTTCTCAGTTTCTGGCAGTGCCGGATTTACATAAGGGCACTTTGGGCCCGGCCCATGGACCCCCATAAATGTAGGGCACCCACAAAATGAAATATTTTTGATTTTTTAATTCCTTGCATGAGCCCCCACATCATTCGTGCCCATGGGCCTTTGAAAGTTAAATCCGGCGCTGATTTCTGTTGTAATTTATATTTATATACTGTATCTTTCATTTTACCGCTTGACACTCAATGCAATTCCTTAATTTTGGTCTTGGCATACAACCTCTCATAACAAATCTCCAACAATTATCTAATCGCAAGAATCCTCATTTACAATAAATTTTGTCGTAGGCATTATGCGCAAGTATACAAGTTTTTATATCACAAGCGAGCTATGGTATTCCCGAAGGATTTTGAAGCGTTATATTACATGAATATAAACAGTTTACTTATGGCGATGCGAATATATATGAAACTAATTAATTCTATTATCTACTTATACATTGACATTAATTTATTTGCATACAAGTAGTTAAAAGGCTTGTCTGCAAAGCTGTTCCGTTTTTTCTTTATCATCGCGAAGTCGAAATTAACTAGATATTTGTACCAAAGCAACGAAAGTACAGTTTCGTTAGGTTTAATTAACCGAAGTATTTGTGTATTATACGAAATTGAAATTGTACTATTTAATAATAGAAGAGGGCAAAAATCGCCGTTTCGCGCGCTCAGAATTGACTACAGTTTAAATCACGCACGTTAAACAGCAGTCCGACTTTTTATTTTTTCTAATATCTCTATTTCCATATCCTAAAAAAGAACTATCCGTTTATCAATACCAGTGTAACGCAGCTTCCAATATGCTAACATTATGTATTTCACTTTTTCGGTTGCTTAAAATAAAAAAAAAAAAAAACTCCTTCGGTTATCACTTACGGTATCCATTCCACAGGCAGAGAAATGGCGTTTGGATCGTTTATAATTTCTTCACAAATGCTCGAAAAAGTGTTCTTATTGACGTAGGCATTAGCTTCCGATAGCATCGCTTGAGCATCGACTTCAATTTTATTTCCAACGAGAATTAAAATTGTCAACGTTATTTGATTCTTTGGCAATATTTCTTTTTAGATCATTTGTACTTTCAATAAAATTTTCAATAGCATGTAAATCAATATCTAGGTGTGAATCACTCGTCTTCTAATTAATCAATATATTTTCAATAGAGTGCTGGTGAGTATTTGAGACGTTTTTTTCACTAATTTCCTTTTGCTTAGATTTATTGGAATCTAATATACCAATAGAACCAACAACCACATAACAATGTCGATGACATGTTAATACTATTTTTTACATAAAAGAAGATTCTAAACAGAAAAATTCTGCTGTCCGATAAAGTATTGATTTTTAGTATGTCTCGAACAGACAATAGATCGAGCAATAGACTTATTGTATATGTAGATAAAGTGGTACAATTCATAAACACGTAAAAAAATGTATTAACAAAAAACAAGTGCATTTACATTACATGACAAAAAAAATTAAAACTAGAATCGATTCCACAATCCTAATTGCGCTAGCAAAAGCTTTAGTTCGCGCAAATATCGCAATATTAAATACAAGTATATATATATATATATATATATATATATATATATATATGAGATCGTTTATAATGATATAGGGGCTTCGGATAAAGTTATTCGGATGACAGTCAAATGATAGCTTGTGATAAGTTTTTTCGCTCTTATCAATTATTTGCAATGAATGCATTTCTATAAAAATACGCAAGTTAATATCTCGTTGGAAATAAGCGAAAAATAATAATCGGCTTCATGTGTTGATGAATAACTCATGACTGAGCGCTACAAACAGCGTTCACTAGATAGGTCTGAAACAGTCGGGGGGGGGGGGCAGTTCCATAGATAGAGCGAGCTTGTCGATCTTGGTCGGCAAAACCGTCCCATTTTTCGTACTTTTAATTTTTACTTACGTGTCACTTCATAACTTCTTAGTCATAGAGGTAGGCTTTCGATTATACGTATCTATTCCTAGCAATTAATTATCAATTGTATACCAAAAGTGTGAGTGTTTTTAAGTTCATCTACTCTACTGATAATATTCTCATAGGTTTCATACATTCAAAGCAAAATCAGAAGGGCGCTCTTAAGCTCATCAGTGTTAATGGTACGTAAATAGAAAAACAATTATATTGTAGTAATTTGTTTATGGCTTGAAGCTCTTCTGACTTTTTAACTATTTGCCAATTGCAGGTGCTGTCTAGCAATATTGTTATCTGTAATGAACCAATAAATACTTACAATTACTTATTCAAAAATAAAAGGTTACAAAATAATCATTTTCAAAAAATTAATTTTGGAACTAGTTTTGCTTATTTGTGTAGTAATAGTAAAATCAATTCCAATTAGTAATTGTAAATCTTGCAGATGACAATTTCTCTTTTACGTAGTCAAAATTTATTTGAAATGTTTTGAGTGAAATGTTTTATTTTAATTTTTAATTTTTAATTTAGTCTCAAAAATGATAATAGGTAGTTTGAGATTTAAATTGATATTTGCAATAGTATTAATTCTATCATTCTGGCAAAAATCACAATTATGGTCCTCATATGCAGAAAATACAACGGTAGAAATGATTTTAGAAAATACTGAAGAAGATATTCAACCAATACTGATAACTGTATATTATGAAGCACTCTCCCCAGATTCAAGAGATTTTATAATACAACAATTAGTGCCTACATTTGAAAGTCTTGAAGATTATATTGAAGTGCAGCTGGTACCTTATGGGAATACAGAAACAATTGTGACATCTGATGACTTTGTATTTAAATGTCAGCATGGATCACTTGAGTGTGAAGCAAATATAGTTCATGCTTGTTCCATTAATAAAACAACAGATTTCAAAAAGTCTTTGGAGTTGATAGCTTGTATGATAAAAGATAATCACCATCCTTTTGATATTTTGGAAAGTTGTGCTGATGGATTAGATGAATACAAGACCATGTTGAATTGTGCACAATCCAAAGAAGGGAGAAGATTGTTAGCTGAATATGGAGATGTCACGAATGATTTAGATCCAAAAGTCACTTATATTCCAACTATTACTTTTGATTATGAGTTTGATAATCAAATATTGATACTTAAAAATCTAACGAAACAAGTATGTCAGCGATTGTTATCTCCACCAGAAATATGTGACAGTTAATACTTTCAATAATGTATTTTATAACTTGAATTACTTTTGTAAGTTTTTGAACCAAGCAGCCACATATCCTATTTTTATGACCACAGAGACGGGTAGCTCAATTATTATGCTTATATTTCATGACTGTACAGTATTTGTAAAAATAATCTTAGAACATGTCAAATTATTATTGAATCGACATGTTGATATGATGTACTAGTATATTTTTAATTAGTTTTAGTCATAATCTTTCAACTTTGTAAAAAAATGATGAGTTTATCTATATGTTATAAATATATTTAATATCAATTGATCACAGTTGATCTGTTTTGCAAAAATTATATTATTGTGATTAGTAAGTGGCTCATTTAATATGATGCATAATATTTGTTTGCTTTATAAAAAAATAAGACCATTCTAAAAAAATTATCTTACTGGATTGGATAATTGATTAAACTGTATTTGTGGTATGTTAAAAGATAAATAATTCATTTTCAATGTGAAAAAATTAAATTGTCATTTAATTCTAACAATTTCATTCATTTTAATAATTACAAAGTAATTTGATATTTGACCAATTTATGAAAGGATTTTTCGGCATTTAGAGCATGAGTCTGGAGTGTTTAAACAATTAACAAGTGTAAAATTTGTCAAAACATGTAATTCGCATTGATTGATTTCAATTGGTGTAAGAAATATGCATTTTATCAATAAAATACTAAATCAATTCAAAAAAAAAACATCGATTAATTGTATACGCACTTCAAAAATAAACAGAGCCTGTATTTACATGTAATTTTTAAGTCCAAATAAGTACTGCGGCGACTTGAGAGAAAAAAGTCTCAGTTGTGTGTCATACGCTTGGTACACGCGTGGGAGACTGTCCAATTAATAACTTCCAAATTGTCTCCTGTCTATAGTCCGGATTTCAAGAGAACTGTTTTGATTGAATTTTCCGAGTCGACGTGGAATCCCAAAATATATAAGTCGATAAACATTCGAAATAATCCTGCGCTCGTATTTCATAATCTTTTCAATTATCGTTTATTTATTTTCAAAAACAAGAAATGAATTACTTGAAAGACAGATAATAATAACAAAAGGAAACTATTAGACGCGTAGAAATTGTCTCGATGCAAGTTATAGTTGGTATACACACATGTAGCAAATACGCCTCATAAAGTTATTTTTAACTATGTTCAATAGTTGTACAATGAAAACTTTATTCGAGTATACAAATAAACAGCCGAGACGATTTCAAGAAACATGTGTGCGATTAAAGTAAGAACTTTATTAAATTAAAAAGATCGTAAAAGTATTGTTGTGAATACTCAAATGAAAATGTATAGTCATATGAAGTTCACTTAGACTATGTCGTATCTGTAAGAGCTGATATACAACAAAATTACTTTTTATGTAGATTCAGACTCCGAGATATCTGACAATTTACACTATTTATTAGATATGCGTAATTCCACATGTGTACCATACCATACAATCAAGTTCATTGTAATTTACTAAAGATAATGAAACTTAAGTTGCTTTATACATTTTAAGAAGATGTACCTTGCTATGAAATACATTCTTGAGCGTTGAGCAGGTGGTTAACGCGCGCGCAGGTCAATCACTCATTTCCTTGTCAATCTTATTTAAATTTTATAAAATTATAAGATTTTACGTTCAAAATTTTCTATTATTAATTTATGCGTGTTACTAGCCTTAACAAAATTCGAACATCGCAAGGCAACGCAAATAGTATTAATTTAAAAAAGAAAAACCAATATTAATTTGTAAGTTACGTCTGTTTTAAAATTCTCGACAGAATTAATTTTTATAATTGATGTAATCAAAGCTTTATTTATCTACGTCAATATTTATAAACTTACTCGGTCACTATAACCAGCATGAAACAAACGAGAATCAGAAAAATATCTGTCGAGTGCAACTATGAATTTTTTCGTAAGACTATATATGTTGTACGTAAGAAAATGTTTGCGTTAATTCATAATTTTTTAACAAGTCTTAATATTAATTGATATGATCTCTCGGCATAATAACATTAAGCTTGTGGAAACGAGTATCTACGTTGAACAAAATATTAAAATACTGACAAATGGATGGTTCTAAGACGCTATCAAAGATTGTATTACGCGCCCAAAGCAATGGTATCCATTATAAACGCTGAATGCAGTTTCAAAAGAAGAGATGGGTACTTAAGTTTAAATTATAATCTCTATATATAAAAAAAAAAAAATACTACAGCGCATAAACTGTTAACGTTGTTTTATGAACATTATACAATATAACGTAGTATTCCTTTTACGAAAGTGTGATGTTTTATGCAAAGAGACGAGTATTTTTTTTACATTTTTTAATTGGATTTTTTTTCCTAAAACATTCGCTGATTGTAAGATATTCAAAGCAGTGGAGCATTGTTATCATAACTCTTAAATTAATTTAATAAGAATTTATTGATATTAATATTTTTAATGATATTTAAATTGAAAAATAATTTAATATTTCTTTTTTTTATGCGGATAGACCATACGTATTTGTCATAATTTAATTCTGTAATATAGTTTTAGCAAAAATACTTGATTTGAAAAAAGGTATCGCGCGCGTTAGCGCCGCCATCGCTGTTTAAAAGCTATATATAGAGTGCTCGTATTGAATTATATATATATGGTGAGGAAAGAGTGAGGGCAATTTCGTTGTGACGCTACGATACGCTCGCATTGTGTCGAACTCTGATAACACGCTTACAGAATAAGGCCCCTGCTCAGGTTCCTTCTTCAAAACATATTTTTAAGTGATTCTAGTGATTCTTCCATTTATTTCTCAGTAATTTTCATCAAGTTTGTTAGTTCTTTGACTTCGTTATTCAACAATTCTATATCATTGGTTAAATATCCTCAGTACCATTAGAGACTTTTTCATTGTACAACTCGTCTACTATAAACGTATCATCTACCTATTCATTGTTATCATCAGATTCACTTGTAGCGTTATTTTCTTCTTCAACATTTTTTACAACCATTTTTACAATTTTCGATAACGAATGGTCAATGAAAGCAATCAGTTTGTCCAATTGTTTTTATTCAACGATTGGCAGTTCGTCCTCATTTTGGACTTGCTGGTTCGCCACTTGTTGAATCAAAGTTTGCTGGGCCAAAACTTGCGGAATGGGAGCTTGTGGGATCAAGACTTGCTAATTCAAAAATTGTCGAACTGGAGCTTGCTGACAAAGTTGCTGGTTCACAGATTGCTGAATGAGAGCCTGCTGATTTGGCAATTGCTGACCTAGTAGTGGTTGAACTGGAAGATCGTTTATGGTAGCTTGATGCCAGATTCCTGGAAGAAGTTCTTCTAATGACATATGTGATGGAGTTGAATGTTTACATTAACATAAACATTTATAAGTGGTAGTATATAAATTGCAACAATAAATAATTATGTAAAAGACTAATTAAAGTTTTCACGTAAATGATTTTCGCAGAATGAATGGCTTATCAACTCTCTATTATTTTATGTGTTAGATACTGAGCAGAGAAGTATATTGCGTCGGATATTAGTATAATTTCGAAACTCGCAGCAAAGTCTGTCAGTTCTTTGAAATGAGCTCAAAACAATCTTCAAAATATTCGATGAGCTCGCTCAACTCTATCATCACGTGTATGCACAGTTAACAGCGAAACCTTTCAAGGGTCCGTTAATAACGAAAGGTTTTCAAAGTAGTAGATACGGTTCAAATATTAATTTGATTAATATATTCTGATGTACATTTGTAGGTCATTCTAGATCACGAGAAAACAACCCTTGAAAGACAGTGAACCTCCGAAAAAGACGGTGAACCTCCGAAAAAGACGGTGGTAAAATTGAATGGTGGAATTGATACAGTTTGATGTCTTTACTCTCATTTCAACAACTAAAGACTCATACGCTTATTAGTTAGCTTGTAACTTAATTTCACTTAAAATACGTAACAGTTTCTATTCTTAAACGCATGACACAATATTCGTACGCTACATTACCAGTCTTGCGGAAATAAATAACGATTACATTTTGTAAATAAACATTACATACTATAGACTTACACTACTAAAATTTCCACGCATTCGTTGTTTTCGAGAAAGCTATCGTAGTCAAGTCGGAAATCATGTACACGTCATAAAGATTTGCCGATAGTCTCAGTTGACACTCCAACGCTCGGCAATAAACTGGTCGAGGTCTTTCTTTATTTCTGACTGTAAAATCAAGGACCTCGAGAGTCTTAATAAAGCTAAGGAAATTACCAAGAGTATCTAAACTGCCATGAATCAAATTAAACATCTGAAAAATGCCGTCGAACACACGATCGAATTTTCAAAGATCAAAGGCATTAAAACTGGAATGTGTGCTGTCTGCGAAAGTAATATATTTAAAGGGTAATAATCTAAAAAACTGCCAAATTGACTTTTAAAATGTTAATTATTTTTAATGCCCACATTTAACTTTTAGCCTCTGTTAGTGAGAATAAATTGAAAGTGGCAGAGTTGCAAGAACAAGTGATTCGACTGAAATCTTTGCTGTCTGCCAAACGAGAGCAAATAGCGACTCTCAGAACGGTTCTGAAATCCAACAAGAATATCGCTGAAGTGGCGTTGAGTAATCTCAAAAGCAAATACGAAAACGAGAAAACTGTGGTGAATGAGACAATGCTAAAATTGAGAAACGAGCTGAGGACATTGAAAGAAAGTGCAGCAACATTCTCAAGTAAGTTTCACAATGTTTACAAGTAATGTTGGTTTTTTTCACATCGATATGCGATGTAAAAGTTGATTAATAACATGATTGTACATTTAAATGCTTGCGTCGGCACAATTGTTTATTTTGACGTGCGAGACACAGAAAATAATGGTAGTTAAATCGGTAAAAAAAATGCGATTTTACGTCTTTTTTTTTTTTATTTTGAGGATGAAGTTTACCGTGCAAAAGATATGATTTTCTTTTTAAATTTAAATAGTATTCGATGTGATAGATTTCGAACCGTTTTGTAGGTACTTTCATCGTCAAAAAATATTATAAATAATGTGTTTTCCATACTAGACTTCACTTTCAAAATAAGAAAAAAGTACGTAAAATAATTTTTTTACAGGTTTTTTGATAATTATTTGTCTGCACGGACTTTTTTTTTGTTTTATGCTATTTATTTTTATCCAATACCATGTACCCCATTTTTCCATATAATAGTCTCTATGCTTACAATTTATATCGATAATTTGCTGAATTTGCCTGAATCACAGATTGTGAAATCACTTTCACATCCACTTCGCGATACAATAAAAATTCGACACGTAATCGTACATTAAATCATTTTTTAATAATTGACAGAATTTTTAATATGTAATTTTTTCAAATATTTATTTATTTCTTAGAAATATTTTATGCATAATACTTTGGACCAATTATTTTCCAATTAAATATTTTGGAAAAAGTTTAGATGCACTATTTTATATTTTTTGTTCGATTAAGAAAGTATTATATTAAATAAATAAAATTTCAAAATTCGCGTAGAATATTAAATAGCGTATA